TATTTTTGTTTTTAAATCTTCACCTGTATTTGTACTAGTTATTGTATATATTCATATATTCTTTAAAGCTGCGTGACATAATTTTTTATGGAAATTCATGTTCTAACAATATTACTACATTGAATACCTAAAGTACTAACAAGCTCTTTGGATTTTAACTTTAAATTTGAAAATTCTCATTTTAGACAAATAATTAGGTCTGATTATTTGTATACTTATATCATATAAAATATTAAAATTTGTGTATTTATATAATATTTTATACAAAAATTTCGTATTATAATTTATGTCGATACGAAAATATAAAATATTTTTTTTATTTTATTAAATCATATATAATTATCATTATAATTTTAAATTATATTACTTTTGTATCTTATTTTCGTATTGTGTTTATGTTATGTTTTAAATTATCAAATCTACAAACAATAATCGATATACTATATAGAACTTATAAAAGTTTGAACAATATTTTTAAAAGAAAAAAATTTTCCATTACATTTATTGTCAAATACTATAATTACTATTAAAAATTACATTATTAAAAAAATTCAACATAAAAATAAAAAAATTGTAATATTAAGATTTAAATATGAAATTCATCTAAATATTGTATGGATTAATCAAAATAAGCTTTGAGTTTAAAATTACATTAATTTGATAAAATAATAATAATAATAATAATTATTATTATTATTATTAATTTGTTCATATTATTTATAATTTATTAATGAAAAGTCATATTTTAATTTATTGAAATTGTTTTGTGATTAAAAAAAAATATCTTGGCATGTCATGTTTTGGGACACAACAAACATGGCCTAGCAATAAAAATCCAACTTTTATTGGTTTTCTTTTTAGAATTAAAAATTCAACTTTGTTAACAACCTCAAAAAAATCGACAAAGCTCATGGTGACTACAACACCAACTCGGAGCCCCGAACTCCGAAAAGACCCGGTAACGACTTGGAAACTCTTCATCATGCCTACTCTGCATTTATAACGAGCACGAGTGTGCGCCCGAGATATTTCGGGTCCCGCCAACCCGAATTGGAAACTCCGGGTCATCGAGAAGTTGTATCCAGCTTTGAGCAGGACTCTCGAGCACTCAATTGCCCAAAATGGCGATTTGAGCAGTCAATTGGCCGTGTGGGGTCCGGTCGTACCCGGTTTCGGGTTTCATGATGTGATTATTGAAACTCCGATTCACTCGGTTCAGTTGCCGGATTTGGCTCCGATTGGTGATGTTTTGATTGCTTATAAAAGGAGGATTGAGCAGGTTAAAGGGTTTGATTCAATTAAATATGTTCAGCTAAGGAAAAAAAACGTTTCTTTTGGTAAAAGAAAACTTTCAGAGCATGGAATTGGTTTTGGATTGAACTATGTAACATAGTAGAGTTTTTCTGTTCTTTTGATAATTGAATATGCATTTTATTTTATCAAATGATTGATTTAATTCTCTGTTAGTATTTGAAATGATTGATTTCTTGAGGTTCCAAGTTTTTAGAGCTGATTGCTTTCATTTCCATATGTTTTAATTCTAGCATAACAAGGCCTAAGGTAATGTTTTTAATCCAGGCATCCCATGTCTCCATCTTTCATTCTGTATTGTGTTTGGCATGCTTGTAGGCATGTTTTTTTCAGTTGTTCAAGAACCATGGAGCTTCAGCTGTGGCTTCAATGAGCCACTCTCACAGGTAGATTCTTTCTCTTCCAATTGTTCCTCCTAGTGTTTCTCTTGGTCTTGACAGTATGAAGGAGTATTTTAATCAGACAGGGACATGTAGTCTCTGTGAGGTTCATTCAAAGGACCTCTTGATTAATGAAACCGGCCATTTCATTTCAATTTCCTTTTGAGATATGGATAATTCCCATTTTTATGAACTAGATAATGAAAAGGTAACTAATGCTTCCTGGTTGTGTTCTTATATGGTTTCACCTATGTCTTTCTTTGTATCACCCTACGTCCTAAGTTTCACTTAGCTTGTTTGAACTCTCATTGTCACTGATTCAAAATGGAACTAAATCGACAAGAAAAGAAGAAATTAAACATCAAATTGTTGTTGGATGCTTTGTGAGTGTTTCTGTGAGTTATTACTTTATTGTTAAAAGAAGTTCCTTTGAATCATATTGCAAGTGTTATTTCTTGGTATTTAGTGAACCCAAGATGGCCTTTTTAATGGCTTTGCTTTGGTCTGTTAGCAATACTAGTTTCATGATGCCAGTTTCGTCTCTAAACCTGCAAAGGAGATTGGGATTCTTTACGGAGACATAGCCATGTTGTCGGAGTGCAAAACTATCATGACTACTTATTTCCATAATTGTTGTAGTCTTATAAAGATGGTATAACACAGGTGATGCAAAAGTTGAACGAAGGGGGTAAAGGAATTCGGTTTTTAAGGAAATTCCTATAAAAGTACCCGTAATGACTTAAAAAAAATTAGTTTTCTGTCGATTTTCCTCATGTCAGCTCCAATGCATGTCATATTGTAGAGATAATGTTTGCTCATACCCAAAATAATAAACAGATTAGCATTGCATTCTTTTTTTTTTTTTTTTTGGCATATTTCCCTAGATTTTCAAAGTTGAGTAACTCATACCCTATTTGATTCACATGAATGCAGGCAGTTGATCTTGGTGGCTTGCTAAAACTCATCCTTAGAAAGATGTCTTTGCAGTTGAATAACCCACCATTCAATTTCATGATTCATTCTTCACCACTTCCGGTTCCTGACTCAGAGTTACCTTACAATAACTGGTTTTACAGATAGTTCCTCAGTTAACTGGTGTAGGGGGTTTTAAACTTGGATCTGGATGTTACATAAATCCTGTTTTTTCCAGAAGATGCTGCTAAACTTTTGAGGTAAGTTGATGTTCCGATATTCGGATTAAAACTGATTATCATCATAGTACTAACGTAAAATCATATCTGAATAAGAAAAACCAACATTTTACACGAGGAAATCTCTTGTGGATCTGTTTGGGCCAGCACTACTTATTTGTATTTAAGAAAAGGTGGATAACATCCATGTGTTTGCAGCCTTGTCACTTTTCACTTCAGTCTAAATGCATGAAACTGTTCAATGATGTAACTAATATAGTAACTTGAAATCTAACATCAGTAGCCTGATGGGATCCAACGCAGCCATCATCCTTGCTTCTTACCCTTTTTGACTTCAAAAGGCTCTTTCATAATCAATCACCAGGGGACCTAAATTTGGGAGCATATTTTTGTCTTAAAACTTGCATCATCCCTAGATCTTGGTGACACTCTTACCATTAGAGATGTCAATAACATTTCCCATATGAATTTTCATCTCTGAACTTTTATATTATACTCATATCTATATTTATATCTAATAAATATTTTAAATTTATCTTTATTCTTATCTCATATATATTTAATGGGTACGAACAATATGAATTTTTATCTCTGAACTTTTATATTATACTTATATCGATATTTATATTTAATAAATATTTTAAATTTATCTTTATTCTTATCTCATATGTATTTAATGGGTATGAACAATTTTCATACCTGTAATTTTTTAATTATTTTATTTTTATCTAGTATATTTAAATTTTTTTATCAATATATAATTTTTTAATAAAAATATATTAATTTAAATTAATCTAAAATAATAATTTATATTATTTAATAAAAAAATTATTTATTAAATATATATAAATATATATGTACGATATAAATATGAAATGAGTGTTATATTATTTATTTTTATTTTTATATTCAATAAAAATTTAAAATCATATATATCTTTATTCTCATAATATAATATTTATTTTTATTTTAATAAAAAATTAAAATTTTTATTAGATATAAATAAAATTGACATCTTTACTTATCACAAAATCAAATACCATAACAAAATTTACATGATGGGTAAAATTAGTAAAATTTAAAATTATAATAAAAAGAATTGTAAGTGAAATAATCCCGTATAACAAATGACTCCGATAGATTTTGCCCTTCCCGACACGACGGTTTAAACCGTTAGATTCCATTGTCCGCCCCAGTTGAAGCACATAGACAAAGACTACGAGTAGAATGTTTAAAAGTCATTCGGCTGCAACTTGTAGTAAGCATCCAATTGGCTTTAGCGTCCATTACCAGAGAGTAGCGGCTGCCTCAGTTTAGAGTGGGTTAAAATTTAAAGCCGATACAAGAATGTGTTGGATGCTCAATTTAATTATTCATTTACAGATATTACTCTTAAAATGAATAACATGGAGCATTAAAATTTTAATTTTAATAATTATGAATTTAAATTTAAATTATAATTTCTCAAATATAAAAAAAAACTTATAAAATGCTTTGTTATTATAGATTAAGAACTTTAAGATATGTGACCTAATGCATTTAATAAACTAATTATTGTGAATAAAACTTATAAATTTATGAGTTTTGGTTTTTTTATAATAATAAAATAAAAAATAAAAAAGACAAAACCTTGATTTTTTTGCTGATTAAGGCGTTGGCCCAATTTAGACTATGTTTGAAAGAGTCAACTTGATTAAAAGTCGGATTATATGTTTAATTTCAAATTTTCATTTAAATTATAAAAAGATTTTAAAAAAATTTAAACTTATTAAATAGACATTGATATAATTTTAGATCAAGTTAAATTTTGAGTTGAAAATTGAACAAAAATATTAAAATCCAAGCTAAGCTCAATATAATCCGAATAGAATATATAATAAAAATATTATAATTATTTAAATATATATGTGAATTTTTTATATTATATTTTTTCAAAAATTTTAATTTTTTATTATATAAATTAAATTTAATGAATTAATTTAAAATTAATTTTTTAATTTAAATTAAATTTTAAAAAATTTAAAACCCAAGATATAATACCAAATTATATTTAAATAAATATATAAATTATTAATATTAAATATGACTCAAATTCAATTTATGAATATCTTTAGACTGCACCCAAAACAAAAAAAACCCCAAAATCAAACAAATTAATCTTTGGAAGTACGACAAAAAGAAAATACTCGAAAAGAAATATCCTGGAGTTGGAGCCACAGAGTCATTTGAATCACTGTTTTTCCATTTTAGTGACCACCCAAACCCAAAGCAAATCTAATCTCTCGAAAACCAAAAAAAAAAAAAAAAGAAAAACTTGGGAAAAGGCAATGACTTGGCTGTTTTTCTTAATGCAATAAAAAAACGTTTTTTCGGTCCCTCCTTTGTGCGTATTCTTAAACCCCCCACCCTCGCAACGCTTTCGGGTTTTTTGGCGGCTATCACTTCTCCACGCCCTCCCTTTTTTCTCTTCCCTAGCTTTCCTACTCTTTCCAACTCTAGGGTTTTTCTTTTCTTTCTTCTTCTCCTTGTTTCTCTCTCTACTCCTCACTTTCTCTTTCTAAATCTACGCCTTTGATCTTTGATCATGGCCACCTCTGATCGTATCCTTGCCAACTTTTCTCCTCTGGGTATGCTTTGGTTTTGTAGATTTCTGGATAAATATTTTTTTTCTTTTTTATTTGTTTTTAGTATTTTTCCTTTTTGTTCTTAAGGATTTTCTTGTTGTTTTGAGGTGTTAACTCATTAATATACATATTTTTGGAATAACCTTCAATGGGTATTTGATTTTATATGTGGGTTCTAGTGGGATTTATTCAAAAGTTTGTTTTTTTCCTATTGGTTTATGCTAAATTTCATTTATTTATAGATTTGGGTTTGATGGTTTTTTGAAGTTCATGAATTTGAATTTTTTTATCTTTGGATCTTTGCCGTTGAGATTTTTATTTGATTTTTAGATGGGTTTTAGTGGGGTTCACTGAATTTTTTTTTAATAATTGGTTCATGCTTAATTTGTATACTTTTAGGCAAAAACTTTAATCTTTTTTATAGATTTGGGTATGATGGTTTTTTTGAGTTCATGAATTTGATTTTTTATCTTTGCTGTTGAGATTTTTATTTGATTTTTAGATAGGTTCTAGTAGGGTTTACTGAAATGGTTTTTTTTTTTATAATTGGTTTATGTTTAATTTGTATACTGTTAGACCAAAATTTTAATCTTTTTAATAGATTTTGGTTTGATGGTTCTGGAACCTAATGACTTTGAATGTGTTTTATCTTTGGATCTCTGATTGTTGGATTGAGTTAAATTTATTGGGTGGTTTTTATGATATTGATAGCTTGAGCCTTGAAGCTATGGTTTTCCTTGTTGCCTTAAGTGATTTGCTTTGGATAAATGTGAACTTTTTTGGAGTTTAATTTTTAAATTATCGGTTTTGTTTTTATCCTTCTAAAATCACAGATGTTGCAGATTCACTGGAGAACTTGTCTCTGGATTCACAAGCCAAGAGCACAAAAGTTCCAGAGCCTGTCAAGAAGGTAGAACTTAGATTGTGAGATGCTCATTTCTTATTCTTGTTTTTGATAAAAAGTTTTTCATTTTGTTAGTTAGATAGATTAGTTGGTTAGTGATTTTATTAGATTCTGTGCAATTCAAGCCTCTGAAATCTAGTGGGCTGCCTGGTTAGTTGTATAAACTGGGTTATAGTCAACAGCGCTTTTTGTGTGGGTAAAGATGCATGTATTGTCCTACCGCATGCTGTTAACTCAAGATTATGATGCTGATAATTGGTGATGGGAATAATGCAAAATCTTTGAGAGATAAATGGATCTGTTGTAGTGATTATCACTGTTGATTTAGGAAGAAGGCTAATGCTTTCTTGAAGCTGCCCTGAAACTTATCATTTACAATTTGGTTTTTGCATAATGGTTTGACTAACATTTAGGTGGTGTGGAGTTTGTATAATGGTCATGCTAACATCATCATTTTGATGGATTTTGGATTTGGAATTTTTGGGTTGGTCATGATAACATGATTAATCGTTAACCTGTCAATTTGCTTTAGGGATCTATACATAGAGAATTTTTGGTTTTATGATCAGGCTGAGTATTGTATTTGATAAGCTTAATGTCTATTGACAGGATTTTTATGGTGATAATGGCTCTTACATGTACCAGCAAACTTATGGTTATATGCCATATGGGGCATATTCTGTGCCCAGTTCACCTCTTCCTGCTATGGGACATGATGGTCAGCTGCATGCGCTGCAAGAATACCATTATCCAAGCCCTTATTACCAACCACCTCCGCAAAATAGTCAAGCTAATGTTTCTCAGGTAGAGGTTTCAACTTCTGGTGCAGGTGATCAAGCTTCCTTATCCATTGAAACAAATAAAGGAAATTCAAGCAATATAGCAAGTGTTGGGGGTTTGAGTGGTAATAATGGGTCAGGGACATTGAAATCAACTTTCAAAAACTCCTCCCTAAATCCAAATGCTTCCTACAAAAGAGGAGGCCTGCCAACAGGTAATCTATCCCAAGGTTATCAGGATCCAAGATTTAGCTATGATGGGTTTCAGTCAACAAGTCCTTGGTTAGATATGTCGATGTCTTCTAATGGGCAATCCAAACATGCTGCAAATAGTGGGTTCTCTTCATATACAAACAACCTTTCATCTGGCAGGAACCAGAACCTTCATCCCTTCCCTCATGTCGTGGTATGTTCAAACTGCTTTGTTTCTTAGATTTGAACTCCTGCTTTATAGATATCTGAATTCTAACCAAGACACATGCACTGCTGAAGTAGTTTGATAGTCGTACAAGGTAGATAGATATGAGATTTTCTTGTCTTCTTTCATTGTCAGTTGACCTAATTGTTCTAATGATCTGATTGCAGAATTTGCACAGTGCAAGACCATCATCTGGTGTAGCCCAAGCATTTGGATACATGAACCACATGTACCCAAGCAACATGACATTCGGTCATTATGGAAACACTGTCAGAGGTGGCTCTGGTTTTGGATCATATGGCTATGATGCCTGGAAGAAAGGAGTAGGGTGGTATACTGTTGGTAACAACAACAAATCTAGGGGTCGTGGATATGGAAAAGAGAATGTCGATGGTTTAAGTGAGCTGAACAAAGGACCTAGAGTAAAAGGGTATAAGAATCAGGATGATCTTGGACCTGAAACACTAGCTGTCAAAGATCAGAACCTTCTACTGACCAAGAGCAATAAGGAGAACAGTGTTTCTCTTGTTCCAGATGTCGAGCAGTATAATAAAGAAGATTTTCCTGAGAGTTATTCAGATGCAAAGTTTTTTGTCATTAAATCCTACAGTGAGGATGACGTCCACAAAAGTATCAAATACAATGTGTGGGCCAGTACATCTACTGGCAACAAGAAACTTGATTCTGCATTCCATGAGGCCAAGGAGAAGCCTGATGGCTGTCCTGTATTTCTAATGTTCTCGGTGAGTATGATTAACATTATATCTGCTGTCTTGATTTAGTGAGTATATGATTTGTTTGATTTTTACTAAGCCTGCACCTTTTCCAGGTTAATACCAGTGGACAATTTGTTGGATTAGCAGAAATGGTGGGCCCAGTTGATTTTAACAAAACTGTAGAATACTGGCAACAAGATAAGTGGACTGGTTGCTTCCCTGTGAAGTGGCATATCATCAAGGATGTGCCAAACACTTCATTGAGGCACATAACACTTGAGAACAATGAGAACAAGCCTGTCACTAATAGTAGGGACACCCAGGAGGTAATCTCTCTCTCTCTCTCTCGCTCACTCTATGTTTGTGTGAGTGTGTGTATTATTTCTCCTTTTTTGCGATTTTCATTCTTCTCATTGTAAAATGGTTGGTGGCTGCTGTAGGTTATTTTTGAGCAGGGGATTCAAATTCTCAAAATCTTTAAGGATCATTCCAGTAAGACATGCATTCTTGATGATTTCGAATTTTACGAGGATCGACAAAAGATAATCCAGGAGAAAAAGGCTAAGCATCAGCTGTTACAAAAACAGGTATGTCTGACTCTTAATTGAATCTTGTGTCTGAATTTTGCTTTTTAACCCACTTATAAGATGTTTTTCATGCCTTTTATCATATAGAATCTGATAGATATGGCTTGCATAAGCCGTTTAAATAATAACTACTTTATATTCTTCCTAACCAGGTTTCGAGTGGGGAGCCTAATGATGATGTTGCAACTGGTAACAAAGAAAATACAGCAATAGCAAAGGAGACTTTGGAAAAATCTGTAGAGGCAGCCTTGATAGAAGAACCAACAATTGCATCAACAGCAGAGATATCGAAGGCGAATGGAGATGTGAAACCTGTAGAAGAGAATGGATCAGTTGCTCCAACCGAAGATGACCCCTCGAAATCAGTTTCCATCGCAAGTGCATGCTAATTGGCTTCTTAGATTTAGAATAGGATTGTAGTTTTGGTTGGTTATTAACAAGCTAGCTAATCCACATCAGCTATTTTGAGTCTCTTTTATTAGCTGGGAAGGAAGTAGCAGAAGGCAGCAGCTTTCAGCCTTTCCTTGTAGCAATTAGTAGCATGGTGAGACAGAATATGACTGCTCAAAAGCCTGAGATTTTCATCTTCTTGTCATTTTCATCTATTTTTCTTTGTTTTTCTTAATGAGAAAGAGCTGAGGAGAAAAAAAAAAAAAAAGCCCAAGCAGAAGCAAGTTACTCCTTTTTGCATCTTGCATTTGATCAAGACATGGCTTTTGTTTTACCTGCATTTCCAATATAGATGGAAGTAAAAGAGCAGTATTGGAGACATTGTGCTTTACTTGTTCTCTATCTTGCATTATGGGATGTTGTAAATTCCTCAAACTTTTACAAATACTAATAATCTTTAAATTTGTATGTAATTATAATTAATATTAATGCATGAAAAGAATTACTTCACCATAATTGTAATATTTATTAATTTTAAATATGATAATCATGAAATATAAAATGATATAATTTAAAATTTTAATAAAAATTGTATATGAAGTTAATAAAAATAAAAAATATTTTTATATTTAATGACAAATTTTAATATAATAATTTTGATTTTTTTTGGTGATATGATAATTTTTATATTTTATTCTTGTTTGATGTAAAATAAATAGATGAATTTGTTAATTTAAAATATGATATAATAATATGATATAAATACAATACGAAAATAAAAAATAAAAGTGATATAGTTAAAAATTTTAATAATAATTATATATAAATTCAATAAAATCAAAAATATATATTTTATATTTATGAGTTTATATGAATTATGATATATAATTTTTATGTAAAATATAATATAAATATATTAATTTTAATATTTTATATAATATTAATACACAAACAGTATAGCTTAAATGAATGAATTAACCAACGTAATATAAATCTAATATTAAAATACTTATAAAAATTAATTTTACAAAAAAAATCTTATAAAAAATTTTTAAAATTATATTTTATATGATATAAATATATAAATTATCTGGTTTAGACACAGAAAAATGAATGAATCGGTGTAATACAAACCTGATTTCAAAGTACTTATGAAAAGCAGTTAAAAAAAAAAAGAAAAAAAGGAAAACCTTATAAAATGCCACCTAGGCTTTTTCTGTGACTTACAGTATGCTTTTCCCTCTTTTTCAAGAAACAAAAGAAAGTTTCAATTTTCCCTTATTTCTTCATTTCTTGGGTTTGGGTTTTCTGACTCTTTTTTCTTCTTCGATTAGGGTTTGAGTAAAAAGGAAGAAAAAAATGGGGTTCTCAATGCATCCGTATGGCATGCAATCCATGCTGAAGGAAGGTCACAAGCATCCCTCAGGTCTCGACGAAGCTGTTCTCAAAAACATCAATGCTTGCAAGCAACTCTCCACCATCACCCGCACTTCCCTTGGCCCCGACGGTACCCCTCTCTCTCTATCTGTTTGAAATATGGATCAAATGTTCGTTTCTAATGCCGCATTTGCTTTAATGCTTTGCTTTAATGTTTGATTTACTGTTCCTTAGGCATGAGCAAGATGGTTATTAATCATTTAGACAAGCTTTTTGTCACCAGTGATGCTGCTACTATTGTCAATGAGCTTGAGGTTCAGCAGCAGGGGGCGAAGTTTTTAGTTTTAGCGGGTAAGGCTCAGCAAGGGGAGATTGGTGATGGGGCTAATTTGACGATTTCCTTCTAGGAGAGCTTCTCCAGAATGCAGGGGAGCTTATTAGGATGGGTTTGCATCCGAGTGAGATCATCAGTGGATATACTAAAGCAAGTAGCAAGGTTTGCCTTAAGCATTTTTCCAACTATCTTAAATGACCCGAGTGTTGTTTAATTATTGATGATCAAGTGTCGCGATTTGCCATTCTATTTTTAATATTTGTAGGCAGTTGAGGTTTTGGAGGAACTTGTGGAGAAGGGTTCTGAAAATATGGATGTTCGGAATAAAGAGCGAGTTGTTACTTGAATGAAAGCTGCTGTTGCCAGCAAACAGCACGGACAGGAAGATATATTGTGTTCCCTTATAGCTGATGTAATTTGCAACTTGTTCCTCATGTGCATCACAAATCAATTATTCTATTAACTGTTCCCTTTTGAAGGATATCGTGACCTCTTATTTATTTTTGCATCGTTGGCGTGCATCCAAGTCTGCCCCAAGAACCCTGCTAACTTTGATGTTGATAATGTCCATGTGGCATAGCTTGTTGGAGGAGGTTTGCATAATTTTACGGTAGTTCCGGGGATGGTTTTAAAAGGTGATGCTGTGGGAAGTATAAAACGTATGGAGAAGGCGAAGGCAGGGATTTAAAAAACGGTGGAGAAGCGGAATAAGGGTCCCTATTTTGGGGTAATGTTAATGTTCACCGTAGCTATTGAAAAAAAATTCGGTAAGAATGTCATTCACGACAGTAATGACACGTCACGATCGTAAAAAATGATCTAACAGTAAAAAACGATAAAAGCAGATCGTTGTTATTGTAATTTTATTTTTTATCCAAAAAAAAATCTTAATTTTCATTTGAGAAAAACCAAAAGATAAAAAACACAATCTCAATTAAAATCAAAATTTATATTAAGATCAAGCACGAACAAATAAAGAAGTGAGGTTTCAAACTTAAAAAAAGGTACACTACTCAAGGAGAAAAGGAAAAGAAAAGAGGAAATGTTGTTTTAAGTTGGCAATGAATAAAGCAACAGCAAGTGATGGCTGAAACTGAAAGTTGCACCTCGAGTTAGAAAGAAAGAAGAGGGCGTCACTTGTGAGAAAAGAAAGAAGGAAGAGAAAAAAAAATGGATTATGGATTTGTTAAGAGCTAAACGGCATAGTTTGAAGGTTAAGGATAAAAAAATTAGAAAAACAAAAGAGGGCTTGGATTAAACCCATTTTATGTTTTAACACAAAAGTTGACAACTTATTTTGTTTTTGGGCTAAATGGATTTATGGTTATAGGTTTTAATATCAAAACTTAACTTAATATAATTTTTATATTTTTTAATTTTTTAATTTGTAATTTATTCATTTTTAATTCATAAATACAAAATATTTATAAATAAAGAGATATATTATTAATAACTAGATAAATATAAAGCTGTTTGGAATACGAAGAACTCTTATAATGCTAAAAAATTATGAATATTAATTTTTTTATATAAATAACGAAGTCATAAAATTACTTTAAAAATTATTTAAAAAAATTTATAATTATAATTATTATTTTTATAATAAATTATGTAAAATTAAAAAAAATTCAGGATCGATATGAACGCAATAACAGTGATAATAATTGTTATATCCGTACTTACACTAAATGCAACATAATAAAAAACGAGACCGTTATCGAAATTTGAATCCATGGGCAAAAGTACAAATTTAATTTTCTCTCTCTTTCCATTTCTCATTTATTAAGTATTACAATAGTTTCTCTATAATTGTTAATTGGCAAAGTTAAAAGTCTCTGTTGTTGTACCTTTGTATTCGCTTCACCTTAGGTGGCTGTGTTTGCCAGTGGTGTTGATACATCTGTTACTTAAACAAAAGAACTGTATTAATACACTCTGCTGAGCAGGTAAATTTTGAGAATTTTCTCATCTTGTTATTTTTAAAATCTATGAACCCTTCAGGCATATATATATAATATTTTTTCTTTAGGTATGCTAGATCTTTCACTTTGTGCCCATTATGGTTATTATTTGTCTATTATGATTGTCTAGCTGTCCATCTTTATGTTGATAAGTAAATTAGCATTGGGGGCTTTAGCTGGTCAAATATGTCTAAATTTGTAAGGTTTTAGCTTGCTGTTTTTGTGCAGCTAGAGAATTATGCAAAAATTGAAGAAGCTAAGCTTGAGTAGCTCATCAAAGCAGTTGCTGATTCTGGTGCCAAAGTTATCGTCAGTGGAGGAGCTGTTGGTTAAATGTCATTGCATTTCCGTGAACGTTACAAGTATATTAAGCTTCTTTTCCATATTTCTAATTCTGCTCTTTGTTCTCTCTCGTCTTGATTAAGGTTGGATATATGCATATTTAGATATTTGATTGATACTTATGCTATGATGTTGAATGTGAAGTGTAGATAGACTGGCCAATTTTTCATAGTCATCAATATTTTCTTGGGAGCTTTTGCAGTCTAGTTCCACATTTCTAATTTGGAATCTTTTTCTTCAGGTTAATGGTTTTGAAAATCAGCTCAAAATTTGAACTGAGGCGTTTTTGTCGCACAACAGGCACTGTTGCTCTTGTGAGCATTTTGTCTAGATTATGTCAAAGTAAAAAGATCGTATTTTTTGGTTTTTTCAATATAATGAGTCTTTAATTCTTCCAACAGTTGAAACTCTGCCAACCAAAGCCAGATGATTTGGGATTTATTGATTCAGTTTCAGTTGAGGAAATCGGTGGTTCTGGGGTATGTTTTGAAGAGTTTGCTTTAGTTATATTTTGTTCCTAGCCTTTCGCTCACTTTATTTTGCCTTGTCTTTTGAATGTAGGTCACTGTTGTGAGAAGTGAAGACGGAGGTAGCAGGGTTGCCACTGTGGTTCTGAGAGGAAGTACCGATAGTATATTGGATGATCTTGAAAGAGCCGTTGATGATGGAGTGAACACATATAAGGTTATTTTTGCCTAACTTTTTTCTTGTTTCTACGCATTCCTCCAAGTATCTGTAATGTTTCTCCTGTATAAACCTTGTTCAGTTATGTTCTTCTACCTGCTGAGATAGTTTTCTTTTCTTTTTTGGATGTAAGTTTCAAGGAAAATATCATGATCACATTCTTAATTCCTATGTTTTTCTGGTCAGGCAATGTGCCCGGACAGTCGTGTAGGCTAGAAGATTGAAAGAATTCTCCTTTGAGGAAACAGGGTGATCTATTATTTTCCCTCTGCTTTAAACCCCTTATTTCAAAGTATCATTCTGCTTAATTATGTGTTACGCTTGCTTGAATGTCATATGAGAATATTTGTGCATTGATGGCAGTTTCCCTGTCTAACCACTATCTTTTGGACATAGTAACACGTTTTAATCTTATACGTGGGTTGTGCTGGATATTTGTCAATTGAAGCAATGTTGGCATTGTTGACTATCAAGTTTATTTTGCGTTACTACTATATATCTTGCATTTGTAATTTATATTTTCATCTCTGTTGGGAAATCTCCTATAGATTTTGGAATATATAGTAGGTATGGATTAAATACAAGAAGAGTCTATCAATATTAACATGGGATATTTTGCAGATTGGATCAGTATGCCATTGACAAGTTTGCTGAAAGTTTTGAAATGGTACCAAGAACCCTGGCAGAGAATGCTGGACTAAATCCAATGGATATCATATCTAAGCTGTATGAAAAGCATGCATCTGGAAATACCAAAGTTGGCATAGACTTACGGGGAGGTGAATCTGAGGATGGTGTTTGCAAGGATGTCTCAACCCTGAACATTTGGGATCTTTATGTCACTAAGTAAGTTGCTATTTGCATCCTCTGAAAATTAACTTTTCTGGCTCGAGTCTATTATTCTTCGAGTCTGGAAAATTAACCTTTAATACTTTGATCATAAATGTGTCACAAAAGTACAAAGTTGACTATTTTTTCTTTTGTGTTTGTATTTTCTTTTTTCTTTTGGCGGGTTTTTTGCTCTCAAATATGCCGCGGATGCAGCCTGCACAGTGCTACGAGTAGATCAGGTAATTAACTTGAAAACAAAATCTTGAAAATGGATATAACACCGTGTTTGTTGGTAAGATTCGCATTCATATTTTCCTTCGGAAAAATTTTGTTTCACCAAGCTCACCATGCCCTTCATTCAATGTTGCAGATTATCATGGCAAAACCAGCTGGAGGTCCAGCAAGGACAGATCAGCCTGCAGGAATGGACGAGGACTAAAGGCTTGTGCAGCGTATGTGATTACCTTCCTGTTGTATCTCACCTAGCCTGTTTCCAGGCTTTGTTTAGGCATCTTTTGTTTTTTTTTTTTTTTTTTTGAGATGCTGTAACACTTTAGCTTGAAAAAATAATTAAAATCAAATTAATTTGATCGAATTCAATATTCAATCAATTTTGATAAATCAAATCAGTTGAAAATTATTTATATTCACCTTTACAGAATGTGTATCCACCTATTAAAAGGAACATAAAATTGGCAAAAGAAAAATATATCAATAATAAATACGAATTTTCTATCGTATTTTATCTATGGTCTAAGATCTGAAAAGTGAAGTTAATATTTTGTAGATATGAAAATTTTATCGTATTTTATAAATATTTTGTAGATATGAAACATAAAACGGGTGGGGATCCTTCTGACATAAAGGTTTAGATAAGAGAAAAGTGCTTAAAGCCAAAAGCCAAAAAGCATATCCAAACAAACAGTTGTTAAAAGGATGAGCCTGCCAACTTAGTCCACTGCAGTCCTCCCAACAATGGCTTCTCTTCTTTCTTTCTCTCTTCCAAAACCAATCATAATCAAAGCTGCTTCAGCAACTACTACTATAACTACCCTTCCGATTCCAGAGGCTCTTGATGAAAAATTTGGTCGTAAAGGCATCAAATTCCTGGAGTCCAACAACGTTCCATTTGTTGAGCTGACAGTAAGAAATGGAAGCTCGCTGAGACTGAGAATACCTGATGCTCATGTCACTTCATACAAGCCTAAAGTTTATTGGAAAGATGACGGCTTCGAGGAGATTCTTTATACTGTTCCTGCTGGTGGACCAGACTCTACCAAGGCCAAAGGAGGGATTGGTTTGGTTATCAATGATGCATCTGAAAAAACTTCGAAAGGGTCTTGTCTTTCTGGTTCTGAGTGGACTGTAAGGGATGCTGATAATGATGCCATTGATGCTCTTCAGGTATTTTCTTAGTTGCATTTTGCCCTCCAAGTTCATGTAGCTCAGAACTTATCTTCTTTGTTTCTGATGCTTTCTTTCAGGTTGAGTTGAGCTGTACAGCTGGAACTCTAGATATAAGTTATGTTGTCTCCCTTTATCCATTAAGCATAGCAACAGCAGTCATAGTAAAGAACAATGGCCGCAAAGATGTAACTTTAACTAGTGCCATACTTAGCCATTTGAACTTTAAGAATAGAGGGGGCACAGCAATTAATGGACTCCAAGGCTGTTCTTATTGCTCACATCCACCTTTATCTTCGCCTTTTGAACTCCTATCCCCGTCTGAAGCAATGAAATCTGAATCTTCCGGATGGTTTGGTTCTGGGAGTGAAGGGAAACCAGGTGTATGGACTAAACAAGATGTACCATTCACCATCTTGAAGAACAAGCTCAGTAGAGTATATGCTACTCCTCCATCAGAGAGGCTAAGGGCAATTTATAACACCCCACCTTCAAAATATGAAACTCTTGATCAGGTAAAATAAACCATTTTTCTATTTCCATTACTTGGGAACTTTTTGATTTGCATTGCCATCAATCACCAAATGCAACTTATCATTTTGCATCTGCTCAAAGTATATATTGAAGTTTCCTTTTGTTGCTTCCTTTTCCAGGGCCGAGAACTGTTCTTTAGGGTAATACGAATGGGATTTGAAGATATATACTTGTCCAGCCCGGGTTCCTTATCTGAGAAGTATGGGAAGGATTATTTCATCTGTACCGGTCCGGCTTCGATGCTGGTGCCTGTGGTAGTGAAACCTGGTGAAAAATGGAGAGGAGCACAAGTTATTGAACATGACAACTTGTAATTATGTATTCCACTAACAGAAATACATATATTTTTTTGGTTTCTTTTTCAATTTATCATGAGAAATATTGGTTTTAGAAATCATTAATGTTACTGCAGTTCATTAACTCATTGAGTGTGATTTATGCTTGTAATAACAAAGCAGAAAGGTTAAAGGTTAAAGGTTGCTGTCAACATTTGCTCTGCAATTACTACAACATTTGAGTCTAGGAGCTATATATTTGATGAAACTGTTAAAGAGTTAAAAGGAACCAAACCAAACTGGACTCCAACTAGCTTGTTTTGCTTCCTAGTTACCTTTCTTGTAACACATTGAGACTAAAAGAAACAGTGTCTGAAATGTTTGAATTTTAATTATAGCAAAAGTGGGGCACACTGAGAGAGAGAGAGAGAGATGAGAACCAAGAAAAACAGAAATCAAGATAAAAACTGTTAAGCCCATTTTCTACCATCTGAAAAAGATAAGGTTGAGTGCTTGGCAGAGGACTAGGTAATAGTAAGAGGTGATTCTGTCAAAAAAATGAAGGGATATAAAAGGTAAACTGAAATATCTATCCAGTCACCAACACCGGCGTAGTCTATTGGTAGAGTGCTATATTCTTAGTTTCAGTTGTTAGACTTCAAATCCTGACAACCAAAGAAAAAAATATCTTTCCAGTCTTCAATTTGAGCCAACCAAAGATATGAATTGAATTATCCTGAAGGAAACCAAGGGATAAGGGGCCACCCTCTTTCCTCTCTTGTTCTAAAAGACACTGCTACACCTAGATGCAACTACATATAAAAAGATCAGGAAAGAGTCTTGTTACAACAAGAAAGAAAGTACAACTATGGCTTACAGTTCAATTTTCTCAACCAACTTCACTCGTTTTTCCTATACAAGACCAGTTAACCATCAGTTATCTTATCCCCCTTCCCTCCCGTCTACATCTCTTCAATACAGCAATAACAGGAGAGAATTTCCAGTTCCATCTGTGGCTTCGATTCCTTACCAACCAATCAATGTGGACTATCTGGAGGGAGAATTCAGAGGCCATGGGGTCACCTTTGAAAGTATTGATGATAGTTGTGTTGCCAAGATGGCATTGGATAATGGCAGCACAGCTACTCTAATGCTTCCAAGTGGTTTGATCACATCTTACAAGGCCCCAATGTGGCATGGGGGCGCAGTTGAGCTCCTACACACATCGGTTTTCGAAGGAGATGAAGGTGAGGCTGTAATACAAGGAGGAGTGTCTTTAGCCCTCAACTGTGAAGGTGATAATGAAGTTTCATGGTCTCCAAGTAATTGGACACTTCGTGATATTAGAGGCAATTCTAAGGACTCCATTAAGGTCAGTTTAATATTAATTTGTTAAGCATATGATATTTAGAGAGACGAAACTATTCAGAACATTGTGAACTCTATTAAGGTCATTATGAACTTGATAAATGCAGGTTGAAATGATAAGCGGTGATTCAGAAAACCTGGTTGAAACAAGACATATTGTGACACTCCAAGAAGATGTCTTAAGCTCAGAGATTTTAGTCTCAAACTCGAAACCATCACCATTACAATGGACAGGATCTATTATGAGCCATCTAACAGTTAGCAGTCCGGAGGCAACATATGCACTCGGATTAGAAGGATCAAATTTTCTCAACATCCCACCCTTTTTGTCAAATTTTGGTATAATTCCTCCAGATTTCGACCAGCAAATTGATTCTTACATTGGCCAACTATGGAGTCAAATGGGACTTAAAAGGTTTTTCAGTGGCTCGGCACAAAGAAACGAGAAGAATGCTAGTAAAGTTAAAAGAAAGCAGAGAGAAAGTGAAGAAGAAATGGAGGGTGAAGAGGAGGATGGCTATAAGCAACTAAATAAGCAAATGAGCAGGATATACACCAGTGCACCTAGATTCTTTACAGTCATTGACAGGGTAATTTTCTAGCAAAATTCACAATAGCTACCCAAATAATGAAATAAGTTACTCTTAAATCCCACTCATCAAAAGTCATACTGATTTGTGATCTTATGAGGCCGATATTGCTATTCTTGTTTCATTTTTGTATATGCACACTCATTTGCTATATTTCCTTTTATGGAGCAGGGTAGAAGAAACTCAATTGTGGTAGGAAGAGATGGATTTGATGAAGTGTATATGTTCAGCCCTGGTTCAAACCATGAAATCTATGGTGAGTATGCTTATATATGCATAGGTCAGTCAGCCATGCTTAAACCTGTAATCTTAGGCCCAGGAGAAGTGTGGCTGGGTTGCCAGCATTTACACAACCCAAATCTGTAAATCATCCTTAAACCTGCTTTTATATTCATCAAGTAAACTTTCGTGCGTGTTCAGCAAAATGTAAGCTTTCATGCCTGCGATCCAAAGGTCTTACTGTTGAGTATTGACTACCATTGACAGCAATAATATCGCGTTCTCATTGTTCAAACTCTGATTGAAGGGAGAAGATTAAACTAGCAAAGAGTACATGCAGAAAAACCAAATCTTATGAGAAGCAGAAATGTTTTGCTCCTGTTAAATTCATTAAACAATGAGCTAATGACATTGTTCAGTAATTGAGTAACAAATATTGTTACAGATAGGGGCATTGTAATGACCTACTCTCCAACATGCTTCCCACTAACAGTATTCCTAATTCACTAGGATTGAAAGAGTTTAATGCAACAGGATGAGTGAATTAAGTTGGAACAACATAGAAGCCTTCATCCTGAACTTCAGTCCACAATAACGAAGTGAGAACCACAACTATAATTAAAAAGAGGCCAAAAAACATTTTTGACGCTGTCTTCTTGCGAGCTTTCTCATTGTGAAACTCTTGAGTTTGAGTTTCAGTTTTATTCACGGGAACAGCATCGTCGCGAGACCCTTGGAGATCAACATCAGCAGGACTGTCATCGGTTGATGACACAGATTCAGAAACACGTTGAAATTCCTCACCATCAGTATGCATATGTCCATTCCCTTTGACCTCATAAATCATAGCACGCCGAAAATGGTTATGGTTTGTGGTTGGGCTCCATTCAAATTTCTCTGAGCATGGACTTCTGAACCTTCTGGATTGTTTCTCACAGTAATCTGAGTTAAATTCAATAGGATCTTGAAGAGAGTGGATTAGCTTCCTTGGAGTTGTAAAGAGGTTGTCTAAATTAATCCGAGAACGTGACCTCTGAAGCACAAAACATAAAAAGGCGAATGCAGTTTATAGAGTGATAATATCAACAAAACCAAAAATAAACAACAAATAAATAAAGTAAGAAGGCCAAATCTAAATAGACAATATTGAGCATTTCACCTGAGGACTGGGAGTGGCACTTCTTGGTAGCCCGTTTCTAGAACTTCTATGCAAGAATCCTTCAAATTCCTCCGTGTACTCTGATCCATGATTGCTAAGTTCATGATGATTAGAAGGTGAATCACACATGGAACTTCCCTGAGCCATCAAAGGGAACAAGCCATCCTTAAGGGATACATCTACACCTCCATTTTCATATCTCCAAAGCTTCCTGTTCACACTCCTTTGATCATATTCCATGTTGCGAGAAATTTGAGTCATTGAAACCGGTGACTCAAGCAAAGAATCATATTCCATAAAGGAATCAAGAGTCTGTGATTCAGGTGAAGCAGTTGCTGGTGATCTATCGCCAGTAGGGACTAAGTTCCTTCTACGACTGCAGTCTCTCCTACCAAAATTTGAACCAGCAACTGAACTGCTACCATTCTCAAATTTTGATCCTTTATCTTGTGCTATTTTCTTTGCAGTTTGCAAAGCTTCATAAGCAGCCCCCTTAACATAAGCCATCTGATCAGATTGACACTTCTCCATCTCTTCCATAATCAACTCCACCTCTGAGAATATGCTCCTAGGATCCAAACACTTCATTAAGAAATTTATCATTTGTATTGCTGAAAATCGTTTCTGAGAATTACCTTCCGCAAGCCCAGCATTTGATATTCTCAAGCCAGATTTTATTAACAATCTAGCATATGCTTCAACAATCAGAGCATTATGCTTTGCTAAAGCCATAACCAGACCCATATGTGGATTGGTCTGAGTGGACTTCTCCTCCAAAGCCCCAGCCACATTTTGACAAACCTCGTTCACCATCACATCAGAAGCAAACCGCCAGTTATCCGATTCCACAAGGGCCTTCAAACAAAGTGCAGCCCCTGAACTCAAACTTTCTTGGGAGCCCAAAAGAGATTCTGAAAGAGGCTTACAAAGTGAGTGGATTATATGCCTTTTCTTATCTTCTGGAGTGGTTGGATCAATCCCATATCTTGCAATTGCAGGTACAACCTTTGAACATGCCTGTTGAAGAGGGAATGACCCTGCACTTGAAGCCAATGTCTTAATAATAGTCGACATGATACTATCAATCTGAGGAACAATCTTCACACCATGGACGCGAGCAAGAACCTCATAAAGTGAAATTGTGTATTCGCCAGACAAACTCCCGGTTTCTTTGGTCTCAGAAACTTGAGCAAGAAAGACCGGTATTGCCTTTGAATCCAAATCTCTCACATATGATTTCAGTGCCTTCATTGCTGATTTACGACTATCAGCATCTTTGTCAAGATTGGCCAATTCTCGCCTCAGTATTGGGCTAAGATTTCTACCCATCAGCTACCTGAAAACACAGAACAAGATAATCCATTTTACTAAAGAGTTAAAAAGAAAAAAATGTTTGAGTGTTGTATGCAAAGTATTGCAAATAAATGCAAGAGCTTTCCTTAAATAGTAGTAAAAAAGGGTTTGTTATTTGAAAACAGCAAACTCAACACCCTGAAGTAATGCCGAGGAAACTGAGAAAAAGACAACAAACCAGAAATCACACTCATTGCTTAGAACTGAATCAACCAAAATATCTAATAACCACTTGAATAAGCCAATTTTATACAAAACAAGCATAAATCTAAGTTCAAAGTTACAATTTTTGACTACTTTCCTATCTTTTCCTATGAACCTAACATAAAATTAAACCTTCTTAATCTGTAAAATTACCAAAAGTTTTCAATTATTTCAGCACAAAAACACGTTATCTCAAAATTTTCTTAACACATAACATCCAGATAAAAAAAAACACAAAAAATATTAAATTTAATCACAAAACAAAAACGGAAATTAAAAATTAAAAATTAAGAAAATTTTATTAAGTAAAATGTGTATTTAGATACAAGCTAACAAAATCTATAAAAATGTAAACCAAACAAAAATAATTCAAAATCAAATCCAAGAAAAAAAAAACAAAAGAAAGGAAGAGCAAGAATCTTGGGTTTGTTTCTGAAATGATAAAACAATTAAAAAGAAACCAAACTTATGAAAAGGGTAAGCCAGATTTTGCTCTAAAACTACAAAAATGAACTAAATATGCTATAAAAAAAACTACCTTTCAATTTTTTCTCACTCTTCTTGATCTTCTTCTTCAACTGGCAAAGCACTTGTCTTTGTAAACATGCACCAAATAAAAAATTTTGAATCTTTGAACAAATTTGAAGAACTTTCTTAATCTTGGAACTATAAAAGACAAGACCAATGATTAAAAAATAAATTTTTTGGGGGTTTTTCTGTAATGAAAGTTTGTTGCTTTTTTAAGTATTTTGGTTGGTAGATGGTTGGGGTTGGGGACTGAAAGTTCAGAGTTTTAGGGTTTTTCCTATCATTAATTGTTTTTTTTTTTTTTTTTGGAATTTCCATTGATGGATTTCGCATTTTGCCTTGAAATTCAAATCTTTTTTTCAAAATTCCACCGCTGTCCCTCATCCTGTGGGTCCCACTGTGAAAATTGGTCTTGCCCCTTTGAAGATCATCGGACAAAGATTACAACGGGATATGTCCAAGCTTATAATTCACTCTTCCTTCCTGCCCTTTTCCCTTTTTTTTTTTTTTTTTAAATTAAAAAACAACTGTCATAATTTTAATCGCAATTATTATTTCAAGCAATCATTTTTTTTTTAAATACCATCTTATTCCTTGACATAATCAAGATTAGACTTTCATAATTTTTTTTACTTTAATTTTTTAAGTTTACATTTGTATATAATTTTTTTTAATAAAAGAGTGATTCTTGTAATTATCATAATACTAGAACTATAAATTAAGGTTTTATTTTAAAAACTCAATTATAAAACATTTATTTCAATATAATAAGAGTTTTTCAATCGAATTCTCATATGAATAATAAAAATTTTTAAAAATTAATAAAATGCTAATAATAATAATGTGTTATGAAAATTAAAGGACTGATAAGATAATCTTTGTTTTGGCAACTTAGTAAGTACAAGACATTGAATGATTGAAAAGTAAAAATCAGTACAAATATATTTTCATGATTATGAAGAGAAAATAAAGTACTATATGAAGCTTGAATTTTCATTAATTGTAACCAAATTTGATGGAATATAATAAAAGTATCTGATCAAGTTTTAATTTATAGTTTCGAAATAATTGAAAAATGACAGTTAAGATTATCCATAGAGAACGATTACTTTGTTGTAAAAATATTTGAATTAGTAAAAAAAATTTTCAAATCAATTATTCTAATAAGATAAAATTAAATTTAAATCTTAATGTTTATATTTTTCTTTTGTTATCCCACAATACGATTTTCTTATAAAAATATATTAGTTGCATTTGATTTTTTATTTAATATCTAAAAATAAAAAAAATGAGGAAATTTTTATTTTATTTTTTGAATAAAAATTTAAAAACAAAGAAAGTTGTTTCATTTCTAAAATTATTATAAATTATAATTTAATTAAATTTTTATTTATAAATTTTTCATACTTACAAATCATCTGCTAATAAAAAACCATTAAAAGATCCAGTGTTAATGCACCCACCCTGGAAACCCTCGTTGGCAGAAAATTTTAATTTAGTAGGTGACTAAGATGGCTGAGGACTGTAGCCATAGAGTAGATTAATGAAATGGCAGAGATTTGATCCAGTGCCACATCTGATTCTGTAATCAGTTGGGTTTTTGTCTTCGGACAAGGGTAGTTCCGTCATTTTAAGTTATTGTATTTCGAAGGACCCACAATCTTTCAGTTCCCGCCGTCCCCCATTGCTGGATTCTAATTCTTCACAGATTCAAAGGAGGATAAGACAGAAAGTACCAAAGACATGAGCAAAACAATCCTTCAGTTTTGAACAAAGCCTTTAAATCAAAGAAGCAATGAAAACATATGTAAATCAATACTTATATCTACAAAATAATGAAAAAAAGGCAGAACCTGATGGCAGATACAATAAGTAGGTTCATTTGGATCTATGGGTTGATCAACATCAGGAGGGGTAGCAAAATCTTTTTCATGGCTTCCTGGAGGAGTCAGCAGTTCGAAATCCCTATCAGGCTCTTGATCCCAATCTCTATCCCTGCAGTCCAGCCTCTTTGATTGAGGTGTTCCATGAAAGGACTTGCGTTTATCAAGCTTAGGAACAGGCTCATATGGTGAAATTTTTCCTTCTGATAAAATTGCAGGAAGAAAAAACATGGTGACAAATTGATAACCACCCAAGGCAGTATTTTAGCCATCAAAGATGCTCAATTGGCAGGCTCAATTTATGCTAGATGTGGTCAGAGGCAAGATGCATATACAGCATTCAGAAAAATTGACATAAAAGATTATATATCATGGAATGCATTGATATCAGGATTCGCACAGAGTGGATTCTGTGAGGAAGCATTGCAGGTTTTTTCTCAAATCAATACTACAGGAGTGGAAGCTAATCTATTTACTTTTATATCCTCCATTAGTGCTGGTGCTAATACTGCTAATATAAAACAGCGAAAGCAGATCCATGCCACGATCATAAAAACAGGTATGACTTAGAAATCGAAGTGTCAAACGTTTTGATCACATTGTATGCAAAGTGTGGTAGCATTGATGATGCAGAAAAAGAATTTTCAGAAATGCCTGAGAAAAATGAGATTTCTTGGAATGCTATTATCACGGCCTATTCTCAACATGGATGTGGCATTGAGGCAATAGATCTCTTTAGGAAGATGAAACAGGTCGGTGTGAAACCAAATCACGTCACTCTTGTGGGAGTTTTATCAGCTTGTAGCCATGAAGGTTTGGTGGATGAGGGCCTAGGCTACTTTGAATCCATGACCAAACAACATGGCTTAGTGCCTAAACCTGAACATTATGCTTGTGTTGTTGATCTTCTAGGCCGAGCTGGTCATTTGTGTCGGCAAGAAAATTTACAGAGTATATACCTATTGAACCGGATGCCATCATTTGGAGCACCCTCTTAAGTGCTTGTGCAGTTCTTAAGAATGTAGACATCGGAGAATTTGCTGCTCATCATCTTCTTAAACTGGAACCTCGAGACTCAGCTAGTTATGTACTTCTCTCTATTTTATATGCAGTGTCCAGGAAATAGGATTCTAGGGACCAGACAAGGCAAATGATGAAAAAAAGAGGTGTGAAATTATGAGTACTTAGAGGATCTGAATAAACAAGCGGCTAAAATCGCTCATGTGCAAGACCGTTATAGCCTTTTCAGTGACGTGGAACGAGGACAGAAGGACCCGACTTGTATATTCACAGTGAGAAGCTAACTATTGCTTTTGGGCTCCTTAGTCTGCCCAGTGCAATTCCTGTTTGTGTGATTAAGAATCTTCGTGTACGTAATGATTGCCATGATTGGATTAAATTTGTGTCCAAGATATCATCTAATCGGCCCATTGTAGTACGAGATGCATACCGGTTTCATCATTTTGAAGGTGGCTCTTGTTCACGCAAAGATTACTGGTAACTAAGAACTGAAAGAGCATGGACTAATGGGTTGAAAATGCACCATGATTTGATGCCAGAGGATGATTGCGTCATTTAGCCGACAATTCATTGAGATAAGAATTACGCCCTCATTGATTATCTCCACAAGAGCGTGCAGGATTTTTATGTCATGTACTTTTGAAACTTCTTGCCATCAGGTGCTGTCTGATCATCATTTAATAGTGGTGTTGCTTGTGCAGAGGTAACTGGTAAATTTTTGTTTTTATTCCCTTTTTCAAAGGCTTGTGAAACATATTACAGTTTCTAATGACTATCATTTACTCTTTATCTTGTCTTGCAAGGTGAAAACATCAACAGCACATATGAGGAGCTTATTTGTTTGAGCCCCGCTTCCCTGTTTGCACAAATGGGTTGAAGCTAGAAAAAGTTCAAGATGCAACAGCTAATTTATCCCACAGATCATGTATATGCTGATCTCCATCCCTGGTCAATATCTTTTGCCAACCTCTTACATCATTATAGCAGTCTTTCAGGTAGATCTGCTAATTGTTTGAACCTTGTGATATATCTAATTGTTTTTTGAAAAAAAAAATTCTGCTGGACAAACATGCGTCGTTGAATACGTATACCCTCACTCCCCAAACGGCCCTTTCTTTTGCTTTTCTTTATGGTGCATTTAATGTGCCAAGCTAAGACATGACACAGTGTGATTTGTTTATTGACTTTTACTCAAGCCATTCTCTCTTCTGAAGTTTCAATAAACAACTTGAAACTCTAGATAGATTAAGAAACTTCAAAGAGTTCGTTCAACGATGGCAACTTAGTTTGGTTGTAGCAATTTTGTTGTCAGGTGCAAAGGCTGAATTGTTTATCTCCGCTCCTCTTTCACATGTGGCAATTGGGGCAATTTGGAAATTTTCACAGCATAGTACTGGGGGAATGAATTTTGCCATAAAATTAGAACCAACTACTCTCACGTCAGAGCCTTGACAGGCTCCATTTGTTCTGATCAGATATAAGTATTGTTGACACCCATTCATTTTCCTCATTTCTAAAATCATTATTTCAGCATTTTTGCTGCAGCAACAAGCATGGCAGAGTCATCATCTTCCCTTCCACTTAAGGACCGGGTGGCAATAGTTACTGGTGGTTCTCGTGGGATTGGCCGTGCCATTGCCATTCACCTTCATTTTCTAGGTGCAAGAGTTGCTGTTAATTATGCTTCAAATTCTAGTCAAGCTGATCTTTTGGCATCTGAGCTTAATGCCTCGAATTCTCCTGATCATCCCAGAGCAGTTGCTATCAAAGCTGATGTTTCAGATCCTGATAAAGTCAAGCTACTATTTGATAAAGCTGAACAAGAATTTGGCTCAAAAATACATATCCTTGTCAACTGTGCTGGGATGATGGATCCAAAGTATCCAACCCTGGCAAATACAACAGTGGAGGACTGGGATATGACATTCAATATCAACACTAAAGGATCATTCCTTTGTTGTCGTGAGGCAGCTAACCGTTTGACACGGGAAGGCGGGGGAAGAATCATAATGATCTCAACATCTCTTGTGGGATCTCTTCTGCCAGGATATGCAGCTTATGTTGCTTCCAAGGCAGCTGTTGAGGCTATGACCAAGATCTTGGCTAAGGAACTGAAAGGCACAAAAATAACTTCTAATTGTGTTGCTCCAGGGCCCGTAGCCACAGACTTGTTCTTTGCTGGTAAAACTGAAGAAACTATCAAGAGATTTGTGGATTCCTGCCCTTTAGGTCGATTGGGTGAGCCCAAGGATATAACAGGGATTGTGGGATTTTTAGCCAGTGATGCCGGAGAATGGACCAATGGGCAAGTAATTAGGGTCAATGGAGGAGTTGTTGTATAAACAGCATCATGATATCTTGATAATATGTCTTTTTTTGTTCATGCTCATGTATTGGGAGCTGAGATTATTGTCTCCACCGAACCATCTAAAATTTTCTTTTTGCAAATCTGATAATAAAATAGTGAAGCATATGAAATGAGACATGGAAAATTTCCATTTTTAGAAAAAAATGATTCTGTAGCCAATCCAGCGGTTCATTTGGTCAGACAACCCTTTTAAAAAGAAACAAGAAGAAAAGACAATATCAACTCAAACAGTGCTAGCTATAATGTCTTAGAAACAGTTGAGATTTTACTTTCCTTAAATGCTTAAAAAAAAAAAACCCTATTTTCTTTATCTCTCATTTTTTCATATTCTTCAAAATTTTTAATCTTTTTGATACCATGGCTTCCACCACCGGCACCAACCCTCTGCCACTCAAAGACCGAGTTGCTATAGTAACTGGATCATCGCGTGGTATAGGCCGAGTTATAGCGACTCACCTGGCTGAACTTGGTGCTAAGGTCGTTATTAACTACTCCTCGAGCCCGGACCAAGCCGATCTCGTTGCTACCCAAATCAATTCTCGCTATCCTGGTGACTGCCCACGAGCTGTAACCGTCAAAGCGGATGTTTCGGACCCTGCCCAGGTCAAGTTTTTGTTTGACTCGGCTGAGCAGGCGTTTGGGTCACCGATTCATGTGCTGGTTAACTCAGCTGGACTGATCGATCCTAAGTATCCTAAAATTGCCGACACTTCATTGGAGGACTTTGATCGTATTTTCAGGTACTCCTGTCACTTAACTTACACAAAATTTCATAGATTCTGATGAAAAAATTTAGAATATCTTAGCATATAAGAGTTAACTATGGAGAAATATGAAAGATTATGTTGTAGCGTGAAAAATCATCATCTTTGTTGATTTGAAAATGGGAAATAAGAATTCAGATTATGAAATTAGAAGGTTTTCTTTTTTTTTTTTTTGGGATGAGAAAAACCAAGCCTAGAGTAGATAGGTTGCTTAAGAAGTGTCCTACTGAATAACCTAGGAATAATGGCTGGAGGTGTCTCAATGACTCCAACAAGAGGCTACCAGCTGGTCTGAAATCTAAGGCATTTAAGTTGAGGGGAACGATGCTTGTCAATTGAACTAATCCTTGTCGGTAAAAATTAGAAGGTTTACTTTGTTTAGGAATTGGAATTTTTTACATGCTCCAGGCGGCATGGTACCGGAACAAGTCAAATGGTTAGAGATTATAGTTCATGTTATCTAAATTTTTCATGGAAAATACCCTACTTTCTCTTTAATGGCTCCATGGGTTTCTCTGTGTTATGAGAAGGGTCATTTATAGGATTTTGCATTTGAAAATTGGAAACTATATTAGTGACTAGCTAGATGCAGCATGCAAGAACGAGTTCAGTAGATTTTATAGATATTATAACATGGTTGCATTTGCCAAAATTCTTATTTTTGCTTGATTTACTTGAGGCAAAATATAGTTGGATTCGATTCTTGAGTACCCTTAATTATTTAGTTCCAAAAATATTATTTCAGTGTCAACACAAGAGGGGCATTCTTGTGTGGCAAGGAAGCATCGAATAGGCTGAAACGCGGTGGTGGAGGTCGAATTATATTGCTGTCATCATCAATGGTGGCTGCACTGAGGCCAGGATTTGGAGCATATGCAGCATCAAAGGCAGCAATAGAGGCAATGATAAAAATACTGGCAAAGGAACTCAAAGGGACTGGCATCACTGCAAACTGTGTGGCACCAGGGCCAATTGCAACAGAGATGTTCTTTGCAGGTAAGAGTGAAGAAATGGTGCAGAAAGTGATCGATGAGTGTCCACATAATCGGCTTGGTCAGAGCGAGGATGTTACTCCTGTTGTTGGGTTCTTGGCTACTGATGCCAGTGAATGGGTTAATGGGCAGATCATTCGTGTTAATGGTGGCTATATATGATACTTGTTTAAGCGCTATGCATATTTTTCAATGAATGATAGTATGCATCAGATCAAGGACCAAATTCATAGGAAATAAATCTGATGATTATTGTGCGCACATTATAATATCTTATGAAGACAAATTTTGACAACGAATCTTGTAATGTTTCATCCCTTTTCCTAGCAGGGCTTTGGTTTATGGTTTGCAGCTCTTATTCCTATTTAGTCATCGTCAATTCCTTATGCTGCAAAATAGTGGATTTTTAGTCAAAACTTGATATCAGTAAGATGGTTTTTGTCTGTCATAACAGGGATGCAAAGTTTAGCCATGTAGTTGTTAACTGAGTTTCTGTTCATACAAAATGACAGTTACATTGTTCATCCTTTCTTTATCCTTTAATTCTGGAAGATTTGTCGTCGGCATCTGCTTTTAAGTGATAGATGTAACATTGAGGAGTGAGGTTGTGCAGGCAGCAAGCCCTGCTAAATGGTTTTTGCAGTCATTAACTCTTTTGGGTGCTATAAAGAGGAATATCTAAATGGTCAGTCAGTTGAACCAAGATGATTAATCTTTCAATCATCATTCCTCTTTTTTTTCTCAATTTTTTTATTCAACTTTGACGCACTGGGTGACTTCATCAAACAGATGTTTTGGCTTCCAATATTTTATTTACTAAAAACGAGTTTTGTTATAAAAAAAAGAACCCAATTTTCTTTGTCTATCATTTCATCATTTTCTTCAAATTTTTAAACTTTTTGATACCATGGCTTGCACCACCAGCATCAACCCTCTGCCACTCAAAGACCGAGTTGCTATAGTGACTGGATCATCGCGTGGTATGGGCCGAGTTATAGCGACTCAGCTGGCTGAGCTTGGTGCTAAGGTCGTTATTAACTACTCCTCGAGCCCGGACCAAGCCGATCTGGTTGCTACCCAAATCAATTCTCGCTATCCTGGTGACTGCCTACGAGCTGTAACCGTCAAAGCGGATGTTTCGGATCCTGCCCAGGTCAAGTTTTTGTTTGACTCGGCTGAGCAGGCGTTTGGGTCACCGATTTACGTGCTGGTTAACTCAGCTGGAGTGTTGGATCCTAAGTATCCTAAAATTGCCGACACTTCCTTGGAGGAATTTGATCGTATTTTCCGGTACTCCTGTCACTTAAACAAAATTTCATAGATTCTGATGAAAAAAATTAAAATATCTTAGCATATTATAGTTAACTATGGAGAAATATGAAAGATTATTTTGTAGTAAGGCCTGTTCATGATTTGGATTGTCTTGGATACAAAATTTAATTCGAAATTTTAAATGATTTGGATATAAATATTAAATCTGTTAAAAAAGTTTAAATAAATAAATGATGATAGATTAAAAAATAAGATCAAATTTGAATTTTATCTTTTAAGATTTGAATTTAATTTGATTTAATTTGAAAATTAAAAAAATATTTTTATTAAATGTATAATGTTTATTTATTTTATTATTTATAATAAGATTCGTGCAATTTTTTTATGTAAAATATTAAAATAATAATTTAATTTTAAATTATATTTAATAAAATTAAATTAGATATAATTCAAATAACTCATAAATTTAAATTAAATTAATAATTTACAAAAAATTAAAAAAAATTTTTAATTTTAAATGTTAGTATTTTGAACGAGTTTAGATTTTATTGTTATACGTAAAAACAAATTTGAATAAAAAATGAAGCTTAAAAAATCGGATCGAATTAGATCTGTACTTACTTAAAATACTAGAATATCATGTTAAGGTTAACTCGATCCGACTAATGAGCAACTCTATTTGTAAGGTGAAATATTTTCATCTTTGTTGATCGAAAAGTGAAAAATAAGAATTTAGATTATGAAATTTGAAAGTTTTCTATTTCTTTTGGTATGAAAAATCTAAGCTTAGATGGGTTGCTCAAATATCCCATATTGATAGCCTAGGAATAATGGTTGGAAGTGTGTATTCGAGATGATTATAACAAGAGATTAGCAGTTAATCTTAAACCTAAAACCCTTAGGTTGAGGTGAATGATCCTTGTCGATTGAGCCAACTCTAGTTGGTAGAAATTAGTAGGTCTACTTTGTTTAGGAGTTGGAATTTTTGACATGCGGCAGGGGCATGGTACCGGAACAAGTCCAATGGTTAGAGATTATAGTTCATGTTATCTAAATTTTTCATGAAAAATACCCTACTTTCTCCTTAATGCTCCATAGGTTTCTATGTGTTATGAGAAGGGTCATTTGCAGGATTTTGCATTTGGGAATTGGAATCTATGTTGGTGACTAGTGAGATGCAACATGCAAGAATGAGTTCAATAGACTTTATAGATATTCTAACATGGTAGCACTTGCTGAAATTCTTGTTTTTGCTTGATGTATTTGAGGCAAAATAAAGTCATTCAATTCTTGAGTACCCTTAGCTTATTTAGTTCTAAATATGTTATTTCAGTGTAAACACAAGAGGGGCATTCTTGTGTGCCAAGGAAGCAGCGAATAGGCTGAAACGCGGTGGAGGAGGTCGAATAATATTGTTGTCATCATCAACGGCGGCTGCACTGAGGCCAGGATTTGGGGCATATGCAGCATCAAAGGCAGCAGTAGAGGCGATGATAAAAATACTGGCAAAGGAACTCAAAGGGACCGGCATCACTGCAAACTGTGTGGCACCAGGACCAATTGCAACAGAGCTGTTCCTTGAAGGTAAGAGTGAAGAAATGGTGCAGAAAGTGATTGATGAGTGTCCACATAATCGGCTCGGTCAGAGCGAGGATGTCTCACCTGTTGTCACGTTCTTGGCTACTGATGCTAGTGAGTGGGTTAATGGGCAGATCATTCGTGTTAATGGTGGCTATATATGATACTTGTTTAAGCGCTATGCATATTTTTCAATGAATGATAGTATGCATCAGATCAAGGACCAAATTCATAGGAAATAAATCTGATGATTATTGTGCGCACATTATAATATCTTATGAAGACAAATTTTGACAACGAATCTTGTAATGTTTCATCCCTTTTCCTAGCAGGGCTTTGGTTTATGGTTTGCAGCTCTTATTCCTATTTAGTCATCGTCAATTCCTTATGCTGCAAAATAGTGGATTTTTAGTCAAAACTTGATATCAGTAAGATGGTTTTTGTCTGTCATAACAGGGATGCAAAGTTTAGCCATGTAGTTGTTAACTGAGTTTCTGTTCATACAAAATGACAGTTACATTGTTCATCCTTTCTTTATCCTTTAATTCTGGAAGATTTGTCGTTGGCATCTGCTTTTAAGTGATAGATGTAACATTGAGGAGTGAGGTTCTGCAGGCAGCAAGCCCTGCTAAATGGTTTTTGCAGTCATTAACTCTTTTGGGTGCTATAAAGAGGAATATCTAAATGGTCAGTCAGTTGAACCAAGATGATTAATCTTTCAATCATCATTCCTCTTTTTTTTCTCAATTTTTTTATTCAACTTTGACGCACTGGGTGACTTCATCAAACAGATGTTTTGGCTTCCAATATTTTATTTACTAAAAACGAGTTTTGTTATAAAAAAAAGAACCCAATTTTCTTTGTCTATCATTTCATCATTTTCTTCAAATTTTTAAACTTTTTGATACCATGGCTTGCACCACCAGCATCAACCCTCTGCCACTCAAAGACCGAGTTGCTATAGTGACTGGATCATCGCGTGGTATGGGCCGAGTTATAGCGACTCAGCTGGCTGAGCTTGGTGCTAAGGTCGTTATTAACTACTCCTCGAGCCCGGACCAAGCCGATCTGGTTGCTACCCAAATCAATTCTCGCTATCCTGGTGACTGCCTACGAGCTGTAACCGTCAAAGCGGATGTTTCGGATCCTGCCCAGGTCAAGTTTTTGTTTGACTCGGCTGAGCAGGCGTTTGGGTCACCGATTTACGTGCTGGTTAACTCAGCTGGAGTGTTGGATCCTAAGTATCCTAAAATTGCCGACACTTCCTTGGAGGAATTTGATCGTATTTTCCGGTGCTCCTGTCACTTAAACAAAATTTCATAGATTCTGATGAAAAAAATTAAAATATCTTAGCATATTATAGTTAACTATGGAGAAATATGAAAGATTATTTTGTAGTAAGGCCTGTTCATGATTTGGATTGTCTTGGATACAAAATTTAATTCGAAATTTTAAATGATTTGGATATAAATATTAAATCTGTTAAAAAAGTTTAAATAAATAAATGATGATAGATTAAAAAATAAGATCAAATTTGAATTTTATCTTTTAAGATTTGAATTTAATTTGATTTAATTTGAAAATTAAAAAAATATTTTTATTAAATGTATAATGTTTATTTATTTTATTATTTATAATAAGATTCGTGCAATTTTTTTATGTAAAATATTAAAATAATAATTTAATTTTAAATTATATTTAATAAAATTAAATTAGATATAATTCAAATAACTCATAAATTTAAATTAAATTAATAATTTACAAAAAATTAAAAAAAATTTTTAATTTTAAATGTTAGTATTTTGAACGAGTTTAGATTTTATTGTTATACGTAAAAACAAATTTGAATAAAAAATGAAGCTTAAAAAATCGGATCGAATTAGATCTGTATTTACTTAAAATATTAGAATATCATGTTAAGGTTAACTCGATCCGACTAATGAGCAACTCTATTTGTAAGGTGAAATATTTTCATCTTTGTTGATCGAAAAATGAAAAATAAGAATTTAGATTATGAAATTTGAAAGTTTTCTATTTCTTTTGGTATGAAAAATCTAAGCTTAGATGGGTTGCTCAAATATCCCATATTGATAGCCTAGGAATAATGGTTGGAAGTGTGTATTCGAGATGATTATAACAAGAGATTAGCAGTTAATCTTAAACCTAAAACCCTTAGGTTGAGGTGAATGATCCTTGTCGATTGAGCCAACTCTAGTTGGTAGAAATTAGTAGGTCTACTTTGTTTAGGAGTTGGAATTTTTGACATGCGGCAGGGGCATGGTACCGGAACAAGTCCAATGGTTAGAGATTATAGTTCATGTTATCTAAATTTTTCATGAAAAATACCCTACTTTCTCCTTAATGCTCCATAGGTTTCTATGTGTTATGAGAAGGGTCATTTGCAGGATTTTGCATTTGGGAATTGGAATCTATGTTGGTGACTAGTGAGATGCAACATGCAAGAATGAGTTCAATAGACTTTATAGATATTCTAACATGGTAGCACTTGCTGAAATTCTTGTTTTTGCTTGATGTATTTGAGGCAAAATAAAGTCATTCAATTCTTGAGTACCCTTAGCTTATTTAGTTCTAAATATGTTATTTCAGTGTAAACACAAGAGGGGCATTCTTGTGTGCCAAGGAAGCAGCGAATAGGCTGAAACGCGGTGGAGGAGGTCGAATAATATTGCTGTCATCATCAACGGCGGCTGCACTGAGGCCAGGATTTGGGGCATATGCAGCATCAAAGGCAGCAGTAGAGGCGATGATAAAAATACTGGCAAAGGAACTCAAAGGGACCGGCATCACTGCAAACTGTGTGGCACCAGGACCAATTGCAACAGAGCTGTTCCTTGAAGGTAAGAGTGAAGAAATGGTGCAGAAAGTGATTGATGAGTGTCCACATAATCGGCTCGGTCAGAGCGAGGATGTCTCACCTGTTGTCACGTTCTTGGCTACTGATGCTAGTGAGTGGGTTAATGGGCAGATCATTCGTGTTAATGGTGGCTATATATGATACTTGTCAAAGCATTACGCATATTTGTGAAAAACAATAGTATGTATCAGATCAAGGACCAAATACATAGGAAATAAATCTGATGATTATTGTGAGCACGTTACAATATCTTGTGAAGACAAATTTCAACAACGAATCTTGTAATGTTTCATCTCTTCTCCTATCAGGGCTTTGGTTTATAGGTTGCAGCTCTTATGCCTATTTAGTCTTCTTCATTCATATCAGTAAGATGGTTTTTGTCTGTCATAACAGGGAAGCAAAGTTTAGTCATGTGCTTGTTAACTGAGTTTCTGTTCATACATATTACAGTTGCTTTGTTCATCCTCTCTTTATCCTTTAATCCTGGAAGATTGGTCGTTGGCATCTAATTTTAGGTAAAATGTGCTCTTTTCTTTTTATTAGTATTTTTGTACAAATGTGTAACATTGAGAAGTGAGGTTCTGCAGACATGAAGCCCTGGTAAAGGGTTTTGGAAGCAATGGCTTTTGCAGTCGTAACTCTTTGGGGTGCTATAAAGAGGAATATCTAAATGGTCACTGAGTTGAACCAAGATGATTAATCCTGCAATCATTATTCCTCACTTTGACGCACTGAGTGACTTCATTAAACAGATATTTTGGCTTGCAACCAAAGGTTTCTTGTTGACACTACGTGTCACATCCAGGTACACACTATCCAACAAATGGTTTTCCTTTTCTTTTTTTTTTTTCCTTGTTTTTCTTTTTCCATTTTGATAATCTTGTTACACTCTTCTATCTGGACCACTGGTACTAATCCATGGCTACCAGCAGTAGTGACAAGCACAACCCAATCTCATCTCCCCCTCTTCAAGACCGAGTAGCCATTGTCACCGGTGCCTCTCGTGGCATTGGCAGAGCCATAGCTCTCCATCTGGCCTCTCTTGGAGCCAAACTAGTTATCAATTACACCTCTAACAAGGTCCAAGCAGATCTTGTGGCAACAGAGATTAATTCTTCTTTTCCCGGTAGCACCCCACAAGCCTTGACAGTCCAAGCCGATGTCTCTGATCCTAGCCAAGTCAAGTCCCTCTTCGACATAGCTGAACAGTTCTTTAACTCACAGCCTTACATCTTGGTCAACTCAGCTGGTGTTAGCATTGCTAAGATTACCCCCGTAGCCGACACTTCACTGGAGGATTTTGATAGAATTTTGAGGTAACGTGCAATCATAAAAGCATCCAAAAGGATTCTTTTAGTCTTACATTGTATGTTGTTTCAGGGTAAACACGAGAGGGGCTTTCTTGTGCGCCAAGGAAGCATCAAACAGGCTGAAACGCGGTGGTGGAGGGCGAATCATATTGGTATCATCATCAATCGTGGCTTCACTGAGGCCAGGAAACGCAGCATACGCAGCATCAAAGGCAGCAGTAGATACAATGGTGAAGATACTGGCGAAGGAGCTCAAGGGAACTGGCATTACTGCAAACTGTGTGTCACCAGGTCCAATTGCAACAGACATGTTCTTTGCAGGCAAGACTGAGGAAATGGTGGAGAAAGCGATCGATGAGTGCCCACTTGGTCGGCTAGGCCAGAGCGAGGATGTTGCTCCCTTTGTTGGGTTCTTGGCCACTGATGCCAGTGAGTGGGTTAATGGTCAGGTCATTCGTGTTAATGGTGGCTATATTTGATACTTATATAAAAGTGTGCCATGTATGTTAGTTTCAAACAATGGCTTCAACTCCGTTGTAATAGATTATAATCTAATCAAGACAAATTTGGACAGTGGACATCTTAATGTTTCATTCATATATTTTTTTCATTTGGAGTAGAGAACTGGGAATGTCTTTTTGAGGAAAAAATTTATACATTATAGGACAAACTTAAGGATAGTAATTAAGTTGAATTAGGTTGATATATTATCAAATTTAAGCTTGATTAACTTCGAGTTTATTTCGTAATTTAAGCTGTTTAAGCTTGGTTAGATAAGTTCAATAAAATTATAAATATTAATATTAAACATTTTATTTTTATCATTTATATATATATATATATATGTTGAGAAATAAAAATTTGATTAAGTCTAATCATTTTAAGTAAAATATTAAATTATTTAAATTTGATTCAATAATAAATAAATTAAGTTTAAAATTTTTTTGTATCAAATTCGAATAATCCACGAATGATGAGCCTTAATGTTTTGAATCAAATTTGAATACCTTGAGTTTGTTTTATAATTCAATTAAATAGATTGGATTCAATTAGATGATTTCAATAAAATTAGAAATATTAATACTAAATATTATATTTTTGTTATTTATTTATATATATTAAGAAAAAATTTTAAATCTAAAAATATTTTAAATAAAATATTAAACTATCTGAATTTAACTCGATAATAAACAAATTGAACTCAAATTTTTTTAATCAAATTTAAATAACTAAAAAATAATTTAACTCAAACTAAATTTTACAACTCTATAAATAAACCCAAAGAGGCATATCATTATATCAGCCCTCTAACCCAAGGATCCAAGCCCAAAAGATAAAAGACAATCCACCAAAGGAAGTCTTTTCGAACAATCCAACCCAAACTCCCAAATCTACCCTTCCCGGTTGGTAAGTACGAAACACGAGATAACGTTAGCTTGGGTCAGCAATTCCCCCAACATAACCGGTAAAAACCCGTAACGCTCACCGCTTAACCGGCTCAACGTCTATAAATATGGAGGTCCAGGGTACAAAATGCCAACCCAATTGAACCACCGCCTTTATCTCTCTTTATACCAATCTCTCAAAAAATCTCATCATCAAAGCGAGACCCTCATGAAATCCATATCTCAAACAAAAACCTATAAAAGACTCGCCTTTTCAAACATTTACCCTCAATTTTCCCTCCAATTTTATGTAGATTTACCTCTTTAAATCCCCTAATTGTTGTTTTTTTTTTCCTTGAAAAAGATAGTGAATTTGATTAGATTTGGGTAAAACTGGATCCGTTTTTGTTTTGGGTATTCCCTTTATTTCCTCCAAAAGTTGTTGATTTACCCGTTTAAAAACCGTAACTTTTTGGTAAACGTGTTGAGTTTGATTAGATTTGGGTGAGATTCGATCTGGGTTTTTCGGTTTGGATATTTAGAGAAAAACCCATCTTTTTGGGGGGAAATTTGGGGGGGGGGGTGGTTTGGGTGAGGAACCAAAAAGGGAATGGCAGAACAAGGTGGCTTGGAAGGGAGCCAACCAGTGGATCTTTCCAAGCATCCATCTGGCATTGTTCCCACTCTTCAGTAAGTCGCCTTGTCGCCTCTCTTATCTTAGATTTTGACACGTTTTTTTTTTTTTTTGTGTGTGTGTGTATAAAGTTATATATGCGTTAGGTTTGATTGAAAAGAGTTTGTCCATGGGGAAGATCTTTTAGGTGTTATTGCACATGGGTTTTCAACTAAATCATTGATAAAAAAAAAAGGTGTTTTTGGGATATGGGTCTTTGAGATTTTGGTTTTTTTTGGTTGAATGGGATGTTATTTGTTGCCTAGAGTTTGTGGATGGGTCTGATCTTTGGGTTATTGGAGACAGGTGGTCAATTAAATCATTCAAAAAAGGGTGGTTTTTGAGAGCATATATCTCTAATTCATGCATGACCTTTTGATGATGATAAGTTTGTGGATATGTACTTCTTGTGTTGGATTTAGAGAAGAGGCATAATTATGCTCTTATTGAAAATTTTAAGGACACTTAATTGTAGTCTTGTAATGTAATAACTGGAAGATTTCATCAGATATCTTTGGATTAATGCTTTTCCTTTGATGTACTTGATGTAGTAATAAAGTAAATCAATTACATCAAATATCATTGCATAAGCCTGGCCCACTAGCCTGCGAGTGAAATAGTACATCACTTGAGCTTAGCTGGTTTATCCACATATTACACTTGAGTCTTGTTCTTAATTGGAATCAGCTAGCGGAATGAATTGCAAGGGGCTTGAATTGTTTTAAGCCCGATTACAAGTTACTAACTAATCTTAACGGGAAGTTGAAAACTGTTGCATTTGGCTTTCAGAATTCAGACTTGACAGAAGTTTTGCATAGGATCATATTTCTTTTCTATGCTTGTAAAGCTGTAATGATTCAGCGCCTAACTAAGTGTGAATCCATATTAAGCTTTCAACAAAAGCAAAAAATGGAAGTTTCTTCTAATTGCTTCTAATTATAACTGTGCTGTGGTTTGACTGCAGTTTATATATAGAAATCTTAGTATTATTCTTACTGTGTTTCTAGGAACATTGTATCAACTGTGAACTTAGATTGCAAGTTGGATCTTAAGCTAATTGCTTTGCAAGCTCGAAATGCAGAATACAATCCCAAGGTACGCTTGGGATGGTTAAGTTCTGGCTATTATCTTTTTTTTAAGTTTTTGCAGTTTCTGGTTCTGCTGCTGTTACTTGCTTGCTAACTTTTTTTATTTACGAAAAACCCTATAGCGTTTTGCTGCTGTAATTATGAGGATCAGGGAGCCAAAAACTACAGCTTTGATTTTTGCCTCTGGAAAGATGGTAATTCCTATCTTATTGGAAATTACATTAGTATGCATTTATTTTGTTGTTTTGTTTAGCGTCAAGATCTTTTAGCAAATAACAAGTGCTTGCTCCAATTGCTTGAGCCAAGCATGTTGTTGTTGTTCAATATTTCATTTAGTAAAACAGTTTTCCTTCCTTCTTCAGGTCTGCACTGGTGCTAAAAGTGAACAGCAGTCTAAACTGGCTGCGAGGAAGGTATATATATTACTTTGAGATGTTTGTGCCTTGAATGTTTACGAACTATGTTAGAGGTCAATTAGCTCCATAATATTTGCTCTTATCATTAGGATAGGTGGATGCAATCATGAAGTTGGCTATAACTTACATTGTATTTGTGCTTTCAGTATGCCAGAATTATCCAAAAGCTTGGGTTTCCTGCTAAGTTTAAGGTACTGCCACTATTTCTTTTTCTTTTCCCTCATGCAAAACATGCTCATAGAATCTGATTTATGGACTAATATCTCCTCCTTCAATAGTGTTTTTCCCTGCTTATTTGTTTAGCGTTCTTGTTGTCATTACAGGACTTCAAAATTCAAAACATTGTTGGGTCCTGTGATGTTAAATTTCCTATCAGACTTGAAGGCCTTGCATACTCCCACGGTGCCTTTTCAAGTGTAAGTGGCAGTCATCGTTCGTTGAGTTGTTTCCTTTTATGTTAGAACATTGGATATGCATGTTTATAGGCAGGCATTTGGGATTCTCAGGTATGAGTTCCCTACAGCCCATGCTGTTCTCTATATGTGTTTGCACATACAAAGTTAGTCTTCTTGTTTGAGCCCCTTGAATTTCATTTACCATTTCTTATGGCTTTTAAGCTCAGTGGATGGTGGTTAAATTTTTATTCAAATTGTTTTGAAACATTATTTGCAATAACGTTGAAACTGAGCTTTTATTCGGTTAGTGAACAGCCGTGGAAACGTGAAGATAAGTTTGGGCTTGTAATACTTAGATTTAGTTCTTTTTTGGTATGAGTTAAAGATAATTATAAGGCGTGCTTATTTGATGTCAAGACATGTTTGTTTAGGTCAAGGATTGGGACTTATCTTCATGATGTTTCATGCAGTATGAACCAGAACTCTTTCCAGGTCTGATCTATCGTATGAAACAACCGAAGATTGTACTTCTTATTTTTGTGTCAGGGAAGATTGTGATCACTGGAGCTAAGGTGATTACATTGGGCCTTTGGTCATACGTCATAGGTGCTCTCTCATGGAATTTTACTAATTCTCTTTGAGTGTCTCAGGTGAGAGAAGAGACATACACAGCCTTTGAGAACATATATCCTGTCCTTACAGAGTTCAGGAAGAACCAACAATGGTAGGATGCTATACCCTCTCCCCTGTCTTTGCACTGTTTGAATAGTGTTTATTTTTTTCATTCATCTCAGAAGAATGTTCTGGACTTGCATCTGACTGATCCGTAATTTGCTGGCAGATATACCTTTGAATGGGACTTTGACTCTGTTGTGGATAGTAGGTTTTCCTCTGCCATTGTGTTCGGAGTTGGATTAGAAGTGTGAATATAAGAAGAATTGCGCCTGGCTTTTTGGCTATGGTTGTCATATGGGGTCTGCTTTTTCCTTAAAGTCAGCATGGTACTTAAATGGATGGTAAATCCCTGGTGTAATTAGTAATTTATGAGGGAAGAGCAAACTCAAAAAATACAAAATGTTCAGGGATCGGGGTTAGCTGTTGCAGACATTTCACTTTCAATTAAAACAATAGCAACTTAATTAAAATTTTGACCGTTGGTCATACCATTTATTGCTCAACTGTTTTTGTCCTCTCGGACTCAGAGTTAACTTGGGTATATGCTAAAGACTATAAATTTGTAACTTGATGCTAGGAAATGCCTAAAGCCAGTGAAATTTTTCATTTTTTATTTGTTTTTATACTTGTTATTTAAGAGATACATGTAAACGTAATGGACACACGTTTCTTTTGGCTCTTTCATTTTGGATGTGCAAATTTCGTCAAGGTGAAAAGTGTTTCAGTCTTGAATAAAGATGGGAGGGGACTTGCCATTTGTTATTCCTTATTTGTTTGCAAAAGATATCCCATCGAATCTGGAGGTTCCTCTGCAAAAGATTCTTCGTTTCAGTGTGGTACTTCTCACTAACATCAACAAGTTGAAAGAATGAAACTATGATCTCCCAGTTTTTACTAATTTAAAGCTTCTTTTTTATTGAAAACTGTTTACCAAGTGAAGTTTTCTCATATCAAATCAAAATCAAAGCAAATCGTAAGTTTCAAAGAAAATTTATATTTTGCATGCTAATCTAAAGCTAAGATGTGTGAAAATGGAAGGAAAACGGGGTGGGTAAAATTGTCATTTTACTGACTACGAAGAAGAAAGATATTTCCTGTGCCATGGGCGCACGTGCCAGAATATTTTGTGGCAACGGCCTTTTCCGTGGAGCTCACTCTTCTCGTTTCTTTTCTCTTCTTTTCCTCCTTACAAGAAACAAAGATTGTTCCTTGCTTTCTCTTCTCTCTTTGTAAATTGTAATATTAAAACACCCCCAGGACAACAAAATTAACTACCATAAACAAACTTCTTTGAAAGCTAAAGCGGAACCTTGGTTATAGTTAATGGCTCAATTCACACCACAAGGACGTTTGAAGCTGCTCTTTCATGGTGATGGGATGGAATCGAAAGACCCTTTTCATTACAAGCTTGTTAGCAATGTTTTTGGTGGTTCTGGTGGGCTAAAATCACTTCAAGTTCATAACAGTACTACTAGGAGACTCTACTTTTCTTATTCTTTGAAGAAAGGCAGTAAATTTAATGCAAAGGCATGTCTGAATGCGAGTAATGAAGGAATATATGATGAAGCGGATTATGATAGTGAGTTTGAGACCGATGATTTGGCTTGTTTTAGAGGTCTTGTTTTGGATAGCTCTTACAGGTAGAAACCCTTCTTAATTACCCATTTTTTCTTGTTTGATTTTGATGCTTTGTTTTGGGTATTTGTTTAGAAACATTTGGAGTTGTAGATATGTTTGGTTTTTTTCCATTTATTGTCGTTAACTTGATTTGAAATATCTGAAAAGCGTCTGATGGTTGATTATAAGGAAGTAACTCAATTAATTCTCTCTAGGTGATTATATGGCTAATTATCTGACATCATTTTTCCTTCTGTTTCAATCCACAACATGATTCTTGCTACCGTTGTAATAATTTACACTGGCTTTTCTCACTTGTTTGGGTAAGGATCTGATCAGTGTCATTCCCTGCCAGGCCAGTCAATGTTGTCTGCTGGAGGCGTGCTATATGTTTGGAGTTCATGGAGAAGGTTGGATTAGTGTGGATCACCTTTTGATTTTAGATGCTTGGGTGGAAGTCATGTGATGCGTTTTAGTCTTCAGCTTTAGCAGTTGTTTACATTTTCTTCTAAATTAGATATCCAAAATGAGGAAAGCTAGTGAAGTGTTGATTTCTGCACTTGTTTAGAGTACTTGTTTTTCCATTTCATTGTATGATAGCATAAATGTTTGGAAAACATGGTGGTAGGTTAATGTCGGACTTCCCCTGCCAAAAGAATCTCAAATATTTACCCTAAACACTTGTAAAGCATTATGCCGTCATCTACTTCTTTGTCTCTTTGATATATGTGTGTGCTCAGATGCAAAACTAACACTCACATTCATTAATGAAACATGCAAAGAGAATTGTTCTCTTCAACATTTAAGTTCCTTTACCTTGGTTTTATCCAGGCTGATGTTCTAGAATATTATGATCAGACTGTAAACTCCCCAAGTGGATCCTTCTACATACCAGCCGTGTTAAGGGTACGGAATTGAGGATCATTTATCATTTATTGTGATCCTTTGGCATCTTTCTTTCAATTTTCCTGTAACATTCTTGTTACTCTTCTCACACACTTACTGTTTTAAGGCTTTTTACCTTCTCTTCTTAATGTCTCTCATCCTCATATGTGTCTTAGTTCACATGACTTGACCTTATTCTTTACTCTCCCAGGTTCCCCATCTACTGCAAGTTGTTAAGAGAAGAAGAATCAGAAACAATCTTAGCCGCAAAAATGTTCTATTTAGGGACAATTTCACTTGTCAGTAAGTTGTTTACAATTACACTTGTCATAAGTTCTCATAAATAATACCCTTATTAAGTTAACCTTATTACATTGACATAGTTTGTCCCCATGGTTCCGAGTTTTAGAAACATATCAAAAGATTTTATAGATATCACCTGGTGAACAACATTAATGATATCTTGACTGTCTATGTTCAAACAACTGTGCTAATTATGTTTCTGAGTTATACGATGTGGAGGTTGCTCAATATGCATGTGTAACTTCACAATTGAGAGAAAGTGTTGGACACAAAGCTTTGTTTCTTTCACAGTACTTGAGAAAATGTTTTATTATTAATTTTTTGGTTTAATTTATGGACTTGTACCTCTTTATGTTGAACTTGATTTAATGACATGATAGTTTCTCATCCTTCTTTCTTGTTTCTATCTTCAAAATTCAAAGTGGAAATTCCTGATGGGAGAAAAGAAGTCTTGTGCTGGTTGCTGTTCAGTAACGTCCCTCTTTCATGTGTTAAAGCCCACTTGCTTGTCATGTTTATAGATTTTATTTCTGTCATCTATATGACAGAAAATTTCTTAGCCAAGACTTTTCATGTTCTACAAATTTTTTTGCACTTTTCTAAGTCAAAGCCGGTAAATCTCCTAATTTCAGGTTCTCATTTTCCTATACGTGATATATTATTGTTACTATAATTTCTTAATCAACTATCTGTTCTTCTTGTTCCTTTTCGTATCAAAGAAAGATCTCTTATCAATTAAGTTATAGCAATTGTTTGTTTCCTTATAAGCATCTTACAACGGCAGTTTTCCTTTTTCAAAAGGTATTGTGAAGCTGATGAGAACTTGACCATAGACCATGTTCTGCCAGTTGCAAGAGGAGGGGAATGGAAATGGGAAAATCTGGTAAGATGATGAATTAAACAGATAGATGACTCATTATTTGTGGATTATCTCAATTACTCTTGTTTGAGCTTATAATTGGTGCTTAAGAGTTAGACACCTTGCTGTTACGTATTCTTCTCATCTTCTGTCATCTGATTGAAAATCAAGACTAAGCAGAAGGAAGCACATAGGAAGAATGTAAGAAAGATCACAAGAGAAGAGGAAGAGGTTTCCTTTTCACCCGTAAAACACAACACAAAATTTGTTGCTTAGTTTTTCTCGTAATCATATTCATGCTATGAAAATTATCCTACATCTGGCCATAGTTAATGCTGATTACATGTCTTCATGGTTAGAAGTTGTTTGCTTCTTTCCTACTAATTATTCATTAGACATATAAGCCGGACAAGGCTTGAGGAAAAATGGGAAACATTGTACGGGGAATCTATGGAAGATGACTACAGGTGTTACAATGCAGAAACATTGTTGCCTTAGAAGAGTTATCACATTGCTTGAAGCCATTGGTTCTTTTTTTTTTTTTTTTTAAGATGAACTTTGAATTAACAGATGTGTCATATGCTTACTTAAGGTGGTATAAAGTGATCAATATGAATATAGTCTATGCCCTTATGTATAATTTTGTTGAAACAAGTCGATGTTTAAATGTACTTAAATAAGCTATGGTTCACTTTTGTGCTGCATTACATGTCATCTTTGAAAGATGGATATCAGAGATGCTTGATGAAATATTGAAATGACTGAAAATCTTAATGAATAGCTACATTTGATTGTCATTACTTTAAACATTTTATGTAAAACATTTCTGTCAAAGCAGACAGTAATGCCATTTATCATGAATGAGAGATTTGTTTTCTTCTTTGTTTTACATTCTGGAACCATAAGAAACCTGATCAAAAGAGATTTAAGATATATTTATGGTTCTACCCACCATGAATTTACGAATTTTATAGTTTTTTCTTTCGTGTGCCTGGTACAGGTCGCAGCTTGTGCCAAGTGCAATTCAATGAAAGGTCAAAAAACTCCAGACGAAGCAAATATGAAGCTGATTAAGGTTCCCAAGGTACTTTCCCTACTCTTGTGAAAACTGTAAAAGTTTCATTTGCCTAAAATCATATATATGAGAAAATGGTGTCTTCTGCTATAGATGGCATTTGGCAAATAAATGAAAAAGGAGAGACAAAGAGAGAAAAGGCCATAGTTCACAGATAGTGTCACCTTTGTCTTTTTTCTCAGTGTGAATGGACAAAAGGATGACATTGAGATGATCAGCAAAACTGGAAATCTTAATTTTTTTGTTTCTTTTTTGCATTAACTATTGATAACTATTAACACGGGGATGATTTCATCTTTGAGAACTAAGATATCGTCCCCCTTGGTTGTCCAGGCCCCAAAGGATTATGAAATACTTGCCATACCCCTAACAAACGCAGCAATAAGGATGTTGAGGAAGAGAAATGGGACACCTGAAGAATGGCGTCAATATCTCTCCCCTTGAGCCTTAGACAGCCATCTATACAGCCTGTTGTACATTCTTATACATCAGATAAACAATCAATTATAAATTGCATCCAAGGTTGTCTTATATTTCGGCTTTTGATTCATGAAATGGGTGTATTCATGTCTAGAAAATGCTTAACATAGTAATTTTAATATTCTTTTAGGATTTCTTTGGCAATGTTTTAAGGCCAAACACTCGATCCCCTAGAACTAGTTATCAATAAAGGTGTATCATGTTATTGATGATTAAATAAATTGATGATCATTTTAAGAAAGCTCTCTATTCTCTTTCATTTTTATTTTTTTGTGCGAACATGCTTCTTGATCTTGACTTGTTGCAGAACTGGTTAATGGTGTGAGTTACAAAGAGCTAACTAGCTCAAAACAATTTGTATGCGCTGCAATGTTCATATTTCCATTAATGGTTCCAACTCGAAAGAGACAAAGGAAAGATAATTGCGGTAACATGCATCCATATGCTCAGATTGAGGCACGTTTCTGTGACCTTATTTGCTTACAGCTCAAGCTCAACTATCTCTTTCTGGTTGCTCATCCAAAATATTTTGTGCTTGGCTTAAAATATTTTAGTGATTTTTAGTAAGAAATGGTCATAGGATCATAAAGAAGTTAATATCTTATTGATTTGGTATTCAAAATTTTACATCTAAAAGGAAGATTCAAAGTCTGAATCCAATGTCTAAATTTATGTTTTTTTCTACTAGTCTCCCTCATGATTTTGCAGTGATTAATGTGGACAACAAGCTCAACTTTTCTCTTTCTTCTATGAACAAATTTGGATTAGACAACAGACCCTGGTTTTTCCCTTTTTTCCCTTCAAATAATGCAAAAGATTCATATTGGCCAACTGATTTTCACCAACAGTGATGCAACTTCAAATTTGATGTAGAATCCCAAAATCAGTCGTTATTCAAGATTAGGCAGCCTCAAATGGAATCCATCCCAAGGAGCATATATTCAACTACTTGTTTTATGTTTAGATTTTCATTATTATGGAGAAAGAGATAGGAAGGATGGCTGGGGGGGACTGGTGCTATCATGCTTGTGGACTTTTGAGCATATGGCTGGACAGAATCATATCCTTTAGGCACATATTTTTTCCCTCCCTACCTCATTATTATCATTCAAAACCTTCCCACCCTTTACTCTCCTAAAATAATTGTTGCATTGTCCTATTTCTACATTGACGGTAGCTGTTGGGATGACTCTGTCCCATTGCCAGACAAAAAATGCAGCCCTGATCAGTCCAGTCAAAATTATGGAGACTACTCAAATTAAAAGTCATTTGATTCAAAATTTAAACATAACCCTTATTTTCTGTACTAAAAACATTCAAATTTCAATACTTGTAACCGTTTTTTATCTCAAATTGAAGCCTCTTTTGCAAATTAAAGAGTAATATATTGAATTAGGAAAGAGGGGAGAGTACGTAACATTATCTTTAGTATAATTAATCTGCAAGAAAAAATAAAGGGAAAGTTCAATGGGGTACTTCTATATGGCCAAAATAAGGAAAGGCAAATAGGGAGATGGGGTTGTGATAAATGAGATGTTCAAATTTTCTCTAGTGTTTTCACATGGCTGATGATCAAAAGTGGTCAGCATGTTGGTTGAACTGAATTACTGTTTATTGACAGTGCAATGATCCACCATTTGATGGGGACATACTTCAAGCATCCTGATAATGGCTGATGGAGTGATGTGGGGTCCATGCATGATTCGTGCATACATTTGATGTATGTATGTATACCACAGAATTATTTTACTAGTAGTTAGGATTATTGAACGGTCAAGGAGGTAGCGGTGCCCTGCCAATAAGGATTAGAGCAATACCAGAAACCATTCCTCTGCAATACATTCATCTGTATATATAAACATATAAATCTAACAAATAAGACCCACCAAGCATACCTTTTTTGTGGATCCCATGTTCAATTTCTAGAAACCTACTTCCCTGATATAGCCTTAACCTCTTGCCACGGGTTCACTTCTCTACACTGCCAGTCTGCCATTGTGTTTTGATTTTTGAACCCCGAGAGTGAAGTGTCATTTTCAGCTATATTAGCTGGTGGTTCCTGCTTCTTTCCTTTTAATTAGATTTATTAAGGACAGAGTCATGAAATCTGATTTAAAAGGACAGCTTATGGTTAGCATGTGAGGACATTCATTAGGAGGGAACAGCCAATTTAAAGACACGGTCTTGCCGAAATAATTCAGGCAACTTTCTTGGAAAGTATAATAACATATTGACTGAAAGCTGGATGCTTATATAAGATGATGTTCTAACAGCTTCTTGAAAACCCAAATCAAACATTGCCGTCAAAACAATAGGTTTGGAATTCCATGGCAACCAATAGGTTGTAATCAAAGTATTGGTGGTGTTACAGATAGAGAATTGATGATCACTGAGAATTCTGAGATGGGAGTCTTCTGAATAAGGCTGCACCTGCACCCCCCAAATATCCAGGGCCTAACATAGATTGACTGACAATATATCATTTGATATGAACATTCATTGTGTAACAAAATGATTTTGATCAGCAAAGTCACTTTGATCAGCAACAAAATATCAATGCAATTGATCTGAAGATCAGTAAGCAAACCTTTCACACTGTTAATATTAGAACTTGCCTTCCTGGTCCCATTATCCCAGTAGCCCCCCAATGGCCTTTTTTTTAATCAGATGAGGCTTCAGTGTCAAAGCAGGCTCACAGATTTCTGGCCCCACTGATCAAAACCTTCTCCACAGCTGCACTCAAAGGTTTTCTCCTCTCCCTCCTTAACCTCGTCTACCCAAATTCAAAACCAAGCACATGGGAATATAAAACAACAATTAGTATATTAAATATAATTTACTAAATCCAAGAAAAGGAAAAAAAAAAGGAAAAAAGTCTTATTTTCTTGTATATATATGGGCAATTCAGTTTTTGTCTCTCTGTTTGTTTCATTGTGATTGTGATTTGTAATGGATTTGAATAAGCTTTGATTGTTTTCTTTAGCTTTATCTGCCGACAGAAAACAAGGCCATAAAGAGGGCACATTCAAGACAGCTGAGCAAAGCCACTTTTGATTGTTTCCTTTCTTCTTCTTCATCTTCTTCTTCATCTCTTTTTTTCTCTCGAGTGTTTCATTTTAAGTTTCCATCTTTCACTTTCTTTCTTGGAGGGTACCAACAAAGTACAATTTTTTTGCATTTGTTTTGGTTCTTTTGTTGCAATGGATTTTTGCCGGAATGTGTCAGTCTCCGGTGAGTACCAACCTGAGCAAGTCCTTTATTCACCCTGCTCTAAACTTGGACCTACCTTAGCTGCTGCTGCTGGCTCTGTCGATGACCTTTTTCCTGCTCAAAATACAGTCAGTTTCCTCGTCTTTTCTCTCTTTCTCTTCTTGCATGGCTTCCAAAGTCTGGGTTCTCCTAAATGGAACCAGAAGAGGAGATTTTGGTAAAGTTTGTCTTTTTTTATGGGTTTATTGAAGTTTTGAACTTTGATTTTGTGGCTAAACTAATTGCAGGAAGTGGATATGAGCTTGGAATGGTTGTCTATATTTGTAGAAGACTGTTTCTCCAGCAGTGGAAACTACATCCCAGTTGGAGCAGCTGCAAATGTTCAAAACAAAAGTACAACTGCAACAAAGCCTACAAAATCATTAGAGCAAAAACCCCAACAAACCCCACCTTCCTTGCAGAAATTTTCAGTTCCAGGCAAGGCTAGAAGCAAAAGAAAGAGGGCAGCCACAACATTATCCAAAACCAAAATGAACCCATTTTCCAGCTGGTCAAACCACCTCAACTCACATAACCCAAACCTCCAATTGGCTTGCTCTGACCCTCCTTTGCTTCAACAAGCATATTGGTTAGCTGAGAGTGAACTCATTGTGCCCAAAAAGGAAGAAGATGACTGCAAAAATAGTAGCAGTAACTTGATGGGAAATAGTGAGGTGGAACAGTCAAAGAAAGAGGAAATGAAGAAAGAGAAGGTGGTGGTGAGTAAAGAGAGTTTAGGAAGTGAAGAGGGTAATAGTGGGCAGCAGCCAAGGAGGTGCACTCATTGCTTAGCACAGAGGACTCCACAGTGGAGAGCTGGACCATTGGGTCCAAAGACTCTATGCAATGCATGTGGGGTGAGGTACAAATCAGGGAGGTTGCTGCCAGAGTATAGGCCCGCAAAAAGCCCCACTTTTGTGAGCTATTTGCACTCCAATTCTCACAAGAAAGTAATGGAGATGAGGATGGCTTTGTTGTCCTCAATTCCTAGTGAGCAGTGATGACTTTTTTCCTTTTTTTCAAACTCCCATTCCCCAATGTAAATCAAAGCTTTGATAGGGTAAATTTGCAGAAATTCTTCACTGGTAATGTGGTAATTCCCTCATTTGTTGAGGCATTTTAGTGGCATGATTGTAATATCTATATTATTAACTTTTACAAATTTTGCCTTAATTTTTTGAACTTTCAAAATTTTTCTTTCTCAAAAAGAATCTGAAACTGTTTCCATATGAAGCCTTGGAGCAGCATATCCTTTCTCCCTGCTCATTGCTTCCTTCATGCTTCAGTTTGCCATCATTTGTCCTATATCGCATCTAAATATTAAGACATTGGCTTTTTAATAGCACATTAAATCAAACCAGAATCCTAAGAGAAGTAGTGGTGAAAGCTAAAAAATTCAACAGATTTGAGGATTATATTATAATATCCTAATTTTTTTTATCATCATGTTGTAATAAAAAAATTAGAGAATTTCAAATAAAATACAGCAAAACATACATATTCATAGTTGAATTGTCTGTGTTGTTTCTAACTTGTTTGGGCTTGGAAATAGTTAATCTTAATGAAACAATTTGTGCCCCTTAGGACACTGCAACTATATTATGTTGGTTAGAACATTAACATAACATGACCAAATGCGTTTAGTATCAAAATGGGATTGTTGGATTTTCTTTAATTTTAGACAAAATAGAAAAAAAAAATCATTTCTTGGCTACCTTTGAGTTTCATGGACCCTGTCTTAAAAAGCACAAATTTAAGCAAAAAAAAAAAAAAAAAAGGCAACAAGAAAAAGAAGTATCTATTACTAAGAATCCAATTACTAATATTTTTTTGAAATTTTAATTAGAGTAATCTAGTATTATTAATAATGTTTTTTTTTTTTTCTAGAATATGGATTTTTGGCAGCTATTGGCTAACAGGGGATAAGTGATGGATTCCAGCATGCATGTGACTTTTTCATTATTGGAGGCTCATGTGCCTAAGCATGCTTCTATTATTGAATTATTTGCCTCCTCCTTTTGTTTTAATTTATATTTATATTTTTGGTGGTTTTGCGATGTTGAATTATGAAATATAAAGAAACAAATCAACATCCATCTTCAATTTATGTGTTTCTTGCCTTCCTATTTCATGAGAAAATGAATATGAAAATGCAATGCATAGGCAAAAGAATAACTAAGAAAGTTGTGGATGTCCAAAAAGATTATAACTATTATTATGAGATTTCACATCCAATTGAGAGAAGCTCAAATGGCTTTGTTGTGTTGGCAGGGACTCCATTGGGATTTATTGTTAAAATGTTTTTATCATTATGATTTATTGGTAGAATTAGAGATATAAACAATAGAACTTTTGAACATATTTAATTTATATTATTTACATTCATTTGTTAAGTTTAATATAATATTTTTTGTTTGTTTATTAAATAAATCAAACACAAATAAAAATTTATTTGATTCATTTATATTTGTAAATAAATTCGTTTAAAATTTATTGTTTGTTTACTATTCATTTATAATAATATTAATAAAATTATATTTTTATAATTTATCAAAATCTTATTTTAAAATTTATTTATATTTGTTTGAATTCATTTATATTTATTTTAAATTTATTTGATTATAATTTATTTATTATTTATAAACATATTCGTTTATATTTATTTATGAATATATTCATTTAATGTTTATGAACGAATTTATTTAATTTAATTGAACTAAACACGAATCATACACAAATTAAACGTAAATATCTTATTATTTAAACGAATCGAATTTGAATAAATAAAATAATTTTTTTATTAAATGTGAATAGAATTCAAATACTTTTAAAAATAAATAAATAAATTATAAATATAAGTATATTTATTTATATTTAATTCGTTTCCAGCTCTAGGAAAGAAAGACCACTAAATTTTTTATTCGAGTGATTAAGTTCATTCTCTTCAGCTTTAAGTACAAAAAACTGTTTTTATTCATATAATAGAAATGGAAGTTTGGCCTTAGGGTCCCACTGGAGCACCCTTCCAAAAGTGAAAGATAATGGATATTGGTTGTTGTGTGGAATCCTCGATGTAAAATCAATAGAAACAAACAAATTCAATTTTTTTTAATTTCTTTCCCTATAAAAAAGATTTAAAAAAAAAAAGAGAAAATTTTTTAAGGATAATTTGTGTATAATTGTGGATATCAGAAAAAAGGATAGATATTTGGAATCCCTATCTTTGAGTCTCAAATCACTTAAGAAGGTGAAAAAAGCGGTCAAAAGTCGATGAAAAAAGTTGATAGAAGTGGGACTATCCATAGCCCATCAAAGTTGTCTATGAAAAGAAATGGAGTTTTTGCATGTGATGAATTTGAAATTGAGGTAGCTACTAATTGGGTTTTTCTTTGTGGTAGTGGTGTAAGTAAATCTTTATTCTTGGCTGACTGCTATCATGGAAGAATTTAGTTACAACTTTTGATTCACCAACCTATCTTTAGGAAAAACTAGGTGAATCCAACAGATTCATGGCTTTCTTGGTTCATCAGTGATCAGAAACTGCTTCCTGCTATGTTAGAATGATATAATCTCAACCTTTAAGCACCAAAGAACAATAAGAAACTAGAATGGTACCTTATGGCATATTGAGGTACCATTCTTCCACTAGAATTTGAAGGTTCCTGACAGGAAACGATGCATTCACTACCGGCTAGGTTTGGGAAAACTTGAAGACCGGCAGAGTTTAGGTGCTGCAGAATTAAACGTCACTTGGTCAGCCGAAAAAGGATTGAAATTCACCTAAATGTATATTTACATGATCCAGAAAGTCTGTCATGAGACATCCTAACACAGGCGAAACCTCCAACCAGTTTGACCATAGAAGTGAGAAGCATGACATTGATCAAGTTAGTGTTTTGGTTAGAGACTGATAAATTCGAAGGATTTTTATTAAATCAATCCATAAAATAAATAACCCCAAGAATCTGTAACATACAAAAGAAACTAGGAAAAATAAACCGCAAAAATAGTACATCAGAGTTGTCTATAGAATCAAATTTGTAGTACAAGAGATGTTAATACTGTTAAAAATGCTATTCTCACCAGTGAGGGACCGATAGAAGATGAAGAAGAAGAAGACGCAATCTGAATGATAAAATTGCAACTCCCTTGAGAGAGGTTCTGTGTAGTGACCATGCCCAGACCTTGAAAATTACAGGCCAGGTCATTCTGATTTTGCACCTGATAGTACATATTAAATGCGTAGGAAGCATTTCCATTGACATCGAGGTTGTTACAAGAAGATTCATATCCAAGTGCTGTGCAATCTGAGAAGGTGCAAGCATAGTTTATGTTGTCTGCAAGTTTGCTGAGGTCCTTAGCATTTGGATTAAACATACACCATTGTTTAGGAAGATATTCGACATTCTGAGCACCAATAAGAAACTTATTTTGATTCTGACCAGAAAGATCAAGTGGAAATTTAGGCTGCCCATCATACCTATAGATTCCCCAATGACGCTCAAAATTTCCAGGAGCAATGCTCTTGGCATCCTCATCTATAAGGCCAAACAAGTAAACTTCCATATATCCTGGCCGCAGAGGCGTGCCAGTGTTGGCTGCAAGTCTAGGCATAAGCCCATTATAAAATCTCTGAGCATTAGCCAAATTGGCATTCTTGTCTCCATCTGTGGGCCAACCTACCTCCCCAACAATAATGGTCATGTTCCCATGCCCTACTGCTTTCAGAGCTGAAACCAATGTGTCAAAGTTGGCATCGAAAACATTAGTGTACCGAATCCCATTATCGACAATAGGGTTTCCTCCATCAAAGAAAGCATAATTAAAGGGGAAGTTGTCATTTCCATATAGACTGAGGAAGGGATAGATGTTCACGGTGAAAGGTGCACTGTTATTGCTTAGAAAATTGACAATTTGCGTCATAATTCCACTGATATCACTTCGGAACCGGCCAGCGGATGGAACAGGGTTGTTATTTGGTGAGTTGTAGACATCAGCATTTAAGGGCACAGTAGCCTTTATGGAGTCTCCAACACCAGCATCATTAAGTGCATTTTGAATGTTCTGAAGTGCAGGGAATGTGATGTTTATGAATGAGCCATTGTAGGATGTGAGAAATGGCTCATTGCCAACACCTACATACCTGTGCAAAGATAGTAACAGATTCCATAGATTAGTTGCAAGATAGCATTCTGAACAATCCACCAATTAGAATTTGATATAAGTATATAATATATGTATAAATTGGATGATGATGCAAATTTGTTAACAAATTCACCAAAAAAAGTGGTTGCATTGCAACATCAGTCAAACATATTCCATACTTCACCATTACCAGAAAGTAACATCATTAAAATCTTTCAACAATCAGCTTTTAGTGAAGACACGCTTAGAATCTCGCCATTCCAAATGTTAATCACATTGCAAAATTTCCGTAAAAAACTTCCAAGAAACCTTCACGACGGCGGTCAATGAAGTTTGTAGAATAAGAAAGTACAGATCAAGACTAAGTAGGTTTCTCACAAGGAAAAGAAATGCTGATAGGGCTATCAGTGGCAGGAACTCTAACTATTGGCGACTCCCCTAAATTAATTAAAAGGTCATAAAGCTCACATAACCAATGTCAAAAGCTTAACACATGCAGTCAAGAAATCTCACAATTTTTTGATGAATTGTATATTTCTCTTCAGAAATAGTGCACATTGTGGGCAGATTCTAAAAAGGTCCTTCCAATTTCTATACTTTGATGCTAAGAATAAAGCTGCCAAAGAAAAGCACATATTGGAGGAATCTAGTGCTATCAGAGTCTACTATCTGTACAAAAGGAAACAAAAGTTGGCATCCATGACAAGTTGAAATCCTGTGGCAAGATTCCTAGCAAACTTTTCCAAGAAGTTCACATCATGTGCTATTTGCTCATTCTCACACAACAGATACGTTCATTTACATCTAGGGGAAGACAAGTCAATCAAGCTCATTATTTGCGCATAATTGTGTAAACAAAAATGGGGAACTCATTGAAAAGTTAAATAAAAGTAACTTCTCTTATTAGCATCAAGAATCATTAGAACTTCCAATAGGATGAGCAGCTCCTATAATTGGATGGTTTCTGGAATCTAAAAAACCAATCACGGAGATGCAAAACAAAGTTGTAATTCTATACAGCAAAAGGAATAACTTTGAGAACAAGAGAAATCATCTTGCAGGATGTCAAAACCCTCTATAGCCCCAATTATCAAATTCAAGCATAATATATTGACAACTATTCTATGGGAACATAAATCAAATACAAATTAAACTAACACCAAATACTTAAACATTCAATGCCAAAACTGGATTTGGAACCAAAAGTCCTTACTGCCAACGCTAACAATTTCCAAATTAAGCATTACATTCATCAAAATCCTCAATACAAGATACAACAACATTTTATCAATAGATTAAACAAATCTTAGAAATTGTCTCAACACCAATAAAAAATAATAATTCAATAAACAAAATCCTGCAAGACAAGCCTGAAGCCAACAAAAGTTTTTTAAAAAAAAAGCAAGTCAGAATTGAACTTACTTAATTTTAACACCTCCATTGAAGTTATATCTTGTGACATTCCTCGTCACCCATTGTTTAGCACGATCATAGCTATTCATAGCAAGAAGCTGATCATTAGGAATAGCAACCATGACTTCGATGTCAGTTCCTGCAAGAGCACTCATAGTATTTGAATCTGCATCAAAAAGCTTCACTTTTTTTATCCCATTGTCCTTTAACATCTGAACCACTGTTTCGGGAGGCAGTTTATGGGTTGCCATGGTACCCCAATTCACCCCAAGACCATTAACAAAACCATCAAAGCAAAAAAGACAAAGGAATATTGTTAATAACATTCCTAGAAATCCAGAATTACCCATATTTTATTTGGCTTTTTAATGAAAATTTTGAAAGTTTGTGAAGCTTAAGTCTGGGAAAAAGCGAGGGAGTTAGCAAAAGAAAAAAAAGCAAGGGTTTATGTTATGTGGTTTTAACTGTTATCTATTAATGAAGTTATCAACCGAAAATCAAGCAATTTTTGTGATCATGGGAGAGAGAGAAAAACAAAAAGAATCCAATAAACGAAACTGAAAGATAAGAGAAAAAAAAGAATATAAATATCCTGAAAAAAAATAGAAAATTTATACCAAAAAAAAAAAAACCCAGCAAGGCAGAAACAGAAATGGTTTTTTGGGGGAATCAAAGGGACAAGATTGAAAGTTCACTGAATATAGAAGGTGGGTTTTGAAGCAAATCTTAAAACAGAAAGGGAGTTTTGAGAAAAGAGGAGTTGAAGAACAGAGAAGAAAGAGGGGATGGGAAGAACAGAATCAAAGAGACAATTTCAAATTTGGCAGAGAAAAAAATTATGTGATTGCATTTCAAATAGAATGTGAATTTCCAAAAACCAAAAGTACATCAGAAGAGAAAAGTTAACAGATCAAAAAAGGCTGAGACTTGAAGGAGAGAGAGAGAGAGTAAATTAATAATAGTCCATTTGATTAAACCCTTAAAACTACAAAATCAAATCACCACAAAAAACAATATATGCACGCAAAACATTAATTTGCATGGACGATGACGTTGAAAATAATACTAAGAGTGAGATTAATTATCTCAACATTAAATTAATTTCAACTATGAAAAAATGTGGTTGAATTCAAATCAAATAGTAATGATGAAATTAAATATAATAATTGATTATCTGATTTAAGTTAATTATTTTAAGATTATATTTGATGTATAGGATAATAAATAAAATATAATGATAATTTTTTATATTATATTTTATTTAGACTTAAAGAAAAAAATAAAATTATAAAAAAATTATCATTTTTTATATAGGATGATTTAATTTTTTCATTTTATTATACTGTTAAAAATTTATTAATAATTTAAATTATATAAATTTTTAAAAAATAATTTTAACTAATAAATAAATTATTTAATATTAATTTTTATACACATCAAATATAAGATAAAAGGATATTATTTAATCTAATCTTATCATAATCTTACATATCAAATATAATTTAAATATAATAAATTATTAAATTCTTCACTTTTCGTTTTTAACAGGAGAAAGAATGAAATTGAAAGCTCTCAATTGTATTATTGAGATGCTATTCAAACGAATTTCGCAATTTAATTGGAAATGAAAAGGGTTCTAAATTTGACAATATTTGATATATAATTTTTTATTATAATTTAATTATAATAAAAAATTATATGGATGTTTATTATTTAAAATATAATTTTTTTTATAAATTCTACATAATATTAAATTATAATTAATCAATTATATTATAATAATTATAAATAATATGATTCTTAGATTTCATCGCCAGATGATCCTAAATTTGAGGTTTTTTTACTAAGGAAATGTGAAAATTTTGAAAAAAAAAAAAAGGGGGGTGGGTTTGAAGGAAGTGTCAACGGCTATATAAATAAGAGGTTGTGCTTTGAGATAGTTTGTGTTGTTGTCAATAGCTTAGGTTCGATAATCTCTAGGGAAAGGGCGTATAATAAATAAATAATATCAATAATTATGAAATTTTCATTTATTTATAAAAAATTTAAAAAATTTTCAAAGAAAAGTGCCCTTTTTTTTTTTTTTTTTTGTTGATTTCAACGATTTTTTTGTTGTTTTCTTTCTTTGTTCAACATGTACGAAAAGAGAAAGAGACAGCCGACAGCTCTTTTGTCTTTTTCTCGTGTTTTTCTTTGTCTTCCTTGTTGAGTTTACTGTATTTAAAACTTCAAAAACTAAAATTTGTCGAGGAATAATAAATTATATTTAATAAAAATTTATGATTTAACAGTTAATTGCTTATTTTTAGATAATATTTCTTTTTACTTATGATTTTTAAAAAGCTTAAAAGTTAAAAAATACTTTTGAATTATAATTAAATTATCACCTGAATTCTGGTTGTTTTATTATAATTAAATAAATTTTTTAAATTTTATTTTCATCTAAATGATTTTTTAATTAGATGAAATTTGATTATTGATTATTACAATCACATGATTTATGTGATTAATTTTTGTTCAATTAAATATTTAATTGATAAAAAAATTCAAAAATTGAATTGATTATAAAAAATAATAATTTAAATTTTAGTTAAAATACTTTTGTATTATTTCATTAAAATTATTAATATATTATCCAAAAAAAATTTTGCTTTCTTAAAATAAAATTCAATTAACCTTACCTTAACTGAACTTATTAAGGAAAGGAGATAAAACGGCACAGTTTCAAAGTGTCTCTGTTGCTCTGGATATGGGTTGATGACGTGGACCACTGACAACCCACGTTTTTTGAAGCACAATGTTCTATGGACGATCAACAAGCGAGTGTTTCGTCATCTGATTCATGTTTTTGCCAATTTTCTTTTCTTTTTAAGAAAAAAAAAACTATTTTATTGGGATTTTAATTTTATTTGGGGATGAGAAAGCAAATATTTTTTTTTTTAGTTTAGGTTGTCGGTCACCGACAGGGTTACACGTAAGATTGGGAAAGGTCAGTTTGGAGATTGGGACAACACTATGGGAAGTTTTTTCAAACTACTTTTTGGATACTAAGCTAATTCTTTTGTTGCTTTTGGGAGACTTGCAAAGTGAAGTTATGTAATGATAGTTTATGTGTCTAATCTCTTTACGTTTCGCATTCGATTTGAATTTGAATAGAATTTAAATATAGTATTAATAAATTTTAAATTTATTTAAGTTTAATTTGATTTGAAATTAAAATTTCATTTTATTGCTTAAATCCTAGTCATATTTTAAAAAAAATTTTAGGTTCATTCAAGTTGGCCATATTTTAATTTAAAAATAAAAAAATTTATAATAAATATTAATTATATTAAAAAAATCAATAAAATAAAATTTAAAAATAATTTTTTAATTTAATTTGATGTTTGAATAAAATTGATAAATATAAATATACGGTATTCAAGTCGAATTTAAGCTTTAGATATCATGTCTAAAACTCGATTCATTTTTAAACAAATTTAAAATTTAAGTTCAAAATTATTTAATGAATTTAAATTTATATCTAAACCTTTTTAAATTTTAAATAAAATTTAAAGTTTAATTGTGTATTACCCTTTTGAATTTTACTATTTATTTCCATAAAAATAATATATATATCTCTTAACTGATGACGGAAAAAAAGTATGATGTCAATTATATTAATGAACCAGATTAATGCTCCAGATGAATAGTTGTTGGGAAGAAATTTTTATCGTATTATAACATTGATTTAATATTGAACCCTTAATAAATTAAAATATTATTTCATGATAATTCCTTTTTATAAGTGAGTCGTTCATTTTTTTTTTTATATATATTTCATATCTTATTTTTAAGATTTGACTTTCGAGATCTTAATCGATATAAATTATAACTGTTGTTTTGCAAATTTTAAGATAACAAAATTATATAAAAAAAATTATACCATCCATTAATAAAATATTAATTTTTTAATTTTAATAATTAAATTTAATCTTTAACAACGTTAAATAATTTTTAAAAAAAGTTCAAAAATGATAAATTTTGATTAGATTACGGCTAAGGATTAAGTCATCTTGCTTTATGATAATTTCACCTTTGCTTCCTTTCAAAATTATTTGGATTCTGTCATTAATTTTCAATGTTAATTCTAGATTGTGACAAATTTAAGCTTTGAGAATGGACATGAATCTTCAAGTTTTGTTTTACATAAAAGTTGAAAGTGAGGGAAGATTTCTCTAATTCCAAGTTAGGGTAGATTATAAATCTCAAAGAAAATGACTTATATTAAATATATAAATTGTCTGCTAACGAAGATCGATGATAGTGAGATTAAATTAATTATTAATTATTGTATTTTAAAAAAAACTTCTATCAATTATTGTATTTTGTATAAAAATATTATTTATAAATGATAATTTAATTTAAAAGTAAAAATAATTTTAAAACACTCGTTAATAAAATTTTAAAAATTACGTCATGGTAAGTATTTTACACATCAAAAGACAAATATATAATGAGAATAAATTTATTTAAAATGTGCAATGCATGCATGTAATTAGTTGGCACAACTTATATATGATTTGATAATTTAAAATAAATATAATAATATAATATAAAAATATACGAAAAATATATATAAAAGTAATACTTTTTAAAATTTTAGTAAAAATTATATATATTTAATAAAATAAAAAATTATATTTTATATTTTTATATCAAAATTAATTATGATACATAATTTTTATATAAAATATAATATAAATATAAAAATTATTAATATATTATATAATATAAATATACGAATTATCATATTATGAGAAAAATTATCGAGGGGAATGGGAGTTTGCTTTTTTGTCTTATTTGATTTTTCCTTTATAGATTGCTACATTTTCAAAATCTAAATCTTAACACCCACGATTTTTTTTTTTAATTTTTAGATTGCAACTTTTTTATGGAAAAAAAAAAAAAAAGAGTTTTGAAAAGTTGCCAAGGTGTTATTGTGTGGTTCCACATCATTTTCCATATTCAAGTTTCTATTTCATTGTTCTCTTTGACAAGGTCCAAATCCTTTTCTAGTCTCCATTGGAACTTCCAAATTCAAGTCAATCATATTTCATCATTAATTAACATAATATGGTTCAATAGTTTGAGATAACAAATTGCTTTCACTTTAATAACACCCTTAGTTTAAAAGCCAATTAGAAGACCAACCCACCAAATTAATTAATTTGATTATAGGGCAACTATAATAGTTTAAAATTATAAATTCAAAAATCTTTTGTCAAATGGTCATGTTCAATAAAAAAGCTTATCCTTCTTTGAATAAATCAACATTTAAATAAAATAAAATATAATATAATGTATGGAAATTTAACTTGTATTTTTTAAATAGAAAACTTGCATTAATATTGATATAATAAAAAAAGTTTTTAATATAATTCAATATCGATCAAATGATTTAAACTCAATTATTTTATCTGAGATTAAAAAAAAGTTATAGACACTAAAATTTGAATTTGGACATTATTAAAAGTTTCGTCACTTTCAATGAATGAATAAATTATTTAAATTAAATTTCGAATTCAACTCAATCCACTTATTATTATTAATAAGATAATGAGTTTGCTAATTGAATTAGGTTTTATTGATATAAATAATAATTAAAAAAAAAAAACTCTAATGGCTTCATTAAAAAAGGGCAAGGTCTTGATAAAATGCACAATGCAAAAAATAAAATAAAATATGTAAGAATCTATGTTTGACACGTAAATGCAATCATCAAAGAGATCAATGGATTGTTCTTATAATTTTATAAATCAATTAAGCGTAGCTGCATTATTTGTTAATTACAATCTGATTGAGACTTGTCCATACTTTTTAAACAATTTAGTTAAGTAATATACTAGAAACTCATTCAACGGCCAAAAATATCAAATGAATTAAATTAGAATATATAATGTTTTCTTCAAGACATTTTTTGGGCATGAAAGTTGAATAATTCAAGGTCCAGACCAATTCCAAAATCCCAAATGTCATTTAATTTTTTTTGTTGAATATCATTAAATTTTAATAAATAATAATTATGTATGATCGGTTGATAAAATATTAAATTTTTAAAATCTTAATTTTAATGATCGAAATTTAATCATCGATAACTTCAAATAAATAATTTAATCTTTGACAACTTTGCAAACTTATTTTTGTTATGAGCAAGTAATTTCGGTTTGGGAAGCTTTAGTTTTACCCATTGTTTAAATATTGTGTGATACTTCAATTTCATATCAGAATAGTTTAAAAATCTGTTAAGATATTTAAGTTGAGATTTAAATTTATATTTGTAAGATATTTTTTATGAAACAAAATCATAAGATTTGTAAATTAAAACGAATAAATTTCTCAGATAAAATATGAATCTTTACATATTAATTTCACATTTTGCATTGTTAAACTCTCGACGAGAAAAAAAGTAACAGGTATTAAAATTTTAACTTTAAATTTATTAAATATTATTTATTAAATTTTGGTGACTTAGTAATTTATCTACATTGCATTTTTGCTTCAATGGGATGGCTCTATACACTTTTAAGGACAGCATGACCTCATGGGGGGCAACAAATTTTTAGGACAGCTATAATTGACATTTGAAATTTCCTTTTCTTCAACTTAGACATTGTAAATAGGTTTATTACAATATTGTGTTGAAGTCCTTCTATCAGAAAGTTTCCCTTTCTCCGATTTCTAGCCGTTTGATCAAGATGTTGCTCCCTTAAAACTTACCCTTCCTTCTATCAACTGATAGTTAGGTAGCTTCCTCCATTTTTTTTCCTTTCCAATTAGAATTTTACGTACCCTTTTTGTCCCATTGATTTGTCCCCCACATTTTCCCTTTAACTAAACAAAAGGGAAGATGGAGTTTGAAGCAATGCCAACAATCACAAAACTCTAGATTTCAGGTGGATAGATCTTCATTTGAAAGCAACCCTTGACTACCCTACTTCTTTCATTAGCATATCTTTTTCCACATTTTAGTTTTGTTCATTGGTGTGATGTCTTCATTCCCACGGTGGAAGAATGAGTATATGATAGGATGTCTCCATTCCCATACCTTATATATATATATATATATATATATATAAACTCAAATTTATAAGACATCTTTTTTGGAATAAAATTGTAAGATTTTTAGATCAAAACGATTAATATCTTATATATTGAATACGGTTCTTCACAAATTGTATCAAAATAATTATCAATCTGATAAAAACTAAATGTTATATGATAAGAAGCCACCTCTTAAATCTAGTACTACACAATGGGAGCCATCTTTATAATCTTAGCATCTGGTGTGATATTAGTTTCTAGAAGTTAGTGCTATACAATTGAAGTAACTTTTAAGATCCTAACGTTTGATGTGATTCTAATTTTATGTATCTAAGTGTGCTTTGTAACAAAAAAAAATTATAATGCTCCAAATCTCATATTGAAAGAATACGAAGATATGATATGATATATATATATATATATCTAATCCAAATATGTGTGATTTTTTTTTAGATAAAATCGTGAGACCTAATTCAGTTTCTCAACTATAAATACAATTTCATGTTGTTTATTGATTATTTGGGCTACTGTTCTTTTGGTTTGGCCTCTTTTCTTTTGATTTGGGGCTTTGTTCATCTGTTCATTTGGTTGGTTTTTTTTCACTTTGGGCTATCTTGATGTTGTTATTTGGGCTGCTTTTCTCAGTCTTGATTCTCTGACACCTGAAAATAAACATGAAACAGCATTTTTTTTATTAATAAAAAAAGAATAACAAGTTGACATCATAAAATGAAGTGAAAATGTGTAACAAAAACAAGTAGGGCAATTTTGATTCAATATTTAAGTTATGTCATACATTAGCATGTTAAATCGAAAAGTTATCCTGGTAGAAATGAAAGCAAGGACATTTAGCACCTAGGGATTGTGCTTTAATCAGATCAAGCCATGTTTCCTGTAATAATCCATCAGGTCTTGTCTTAAATGATACATGATCAGATAGGAAAAAGATTAAAAAAAAAAAAAAAACAAAACTACATCGATTAGCAAGAAGCAATCCAAATTGATTTTGGTTTGGCAAGCTGGCCCGAATCCGAAAAGCAGCATTTCTTCACCGAGTTTCCTCTTCCGATGTTTAATGGGAATTGGATTATCAATATGCTGAACTTTGTCTCTTCACTTTCTCTAGTCATGAAGATGAATAATCCCTTCAGCTCCAGCTGAGACCATTCAGGTCAAACTGTTTGCAGCTTGAAGCTGCATCATTTTCTTCATGGACATTTAAATCTAGCTTTGTTACAAAGTAAGGTAGTCTATCAACTGTATCTGCCCTTTTGTTTCCTTTTCCCTCAGAAAAGCTGCAGTTGTTGCTGCCATTCCCTTTCTCTCCTTGTAATCCTACACTCATGGATAAATCACTGGAGCTTCTATCTGCAAAAAACATTTTTCTCTCTGCATCCTTGCCTATTGAGGATAGAAACAGTTTGTTCTTTTTTATGTCCTCAAAGGATTTCAGCTCAGTTTGCAGTGGCAATGGATCTTCTGCTATCTGACCTCTTTGCTCCAAGAGTGAGCTGCTACTGTAAGCTCTTAAACAAATCCCATTGTTGTGTATTTCTTGCTCCTTCTGAGATCCTTCACAGGAGGTCAAGCAACTATCCATGGAACAATCAGTGGGTGGAGTTGCTTGTGTTTGCTGGTGGCTTAAACCCTGCAAGTCTTTCAAATCTGAAAATGCTGAATTCAGGCATTGGTTGGACACTTTAGACACCAGTTCGGATAGCTGAACTTTGGCTGCTTCAAGCCCCACGGTACCCAAATTTTGTCCACCAAGAGTCTCTTGGGCTTTCTCCAGCACTGCCTGTAAGTATTTCCCTTGAGCCTCAATACGAAGCTGTAAATGTCGCTGTACCTGGTTCAGTTGAGAAATTATCAGAATGAAGCTAACTGACCGACCTTAAAATCATTTCCAAAGTTCTAATAATATGTACCTCAAGCTGCTCATGCAGCCTTCTCTGGACTTCAATTTGCATTTGCAGTGCTTCACCTATTTGTAAGCCTCTGGATTTATGAACATCAAAGTCAGTATATGAAGAAATAGATGACTGAATGCAAAACTATGAAAGGCTATTTAAGTTTCTTACTTGTTTGTCTGGGGTCCAATACTTAAGTTATTCATGTGCATCCCATTTGCTTCAGACATTCTGTCTCCTCCCATTGCAACTGCACCTATATCCATTGAGTTAAAATTTAATGTTCAGAATGAAAGCTCTCAACTGGATAATTATCAGAAAATAGTTGAAAACTTGTCTAGTGCAACAGGGGAACAATGTCCTCTTACCTATTTTGTTACTGCCATTATTAGCTAGTCCATGTAGATTTTTACTGAGCCTGTATTTCTGCAGCCAAAATGTAAGATTTTACTTAGTACTTTTAACACATAAAGTAATAGGATCGTCAACAATTTTCAAATTTTTACCACTTTTTTTTTCTTTGAAGGGAGGGGGTGTTGCTTGGCATGTTGGATTGTATGAAGACAATTCTCTAGATGACATTGATAAATTACCTGAAGGTGACTCTTGAGATGATATAAGGTAAGGCCAGGAATCCCCATTAGTTTCATGACTGTTTTAGGAGTAGCCTCTGCAATAGAAAAATTACAACTATTTGTATTAGCCTAAGGCAATTTATGCATGAATCAACTCTGGTACTTCTTGAGACTTTTGTGTACTCACTGTCTGCTCCTCCAAGCTGATTGACAGCTTCTATGAAGCGTTCATGAAGGTCAGGCGTCCACTTCAGTCTTGGCTTCGCATCAGTTGAGAGGACAAGACCACAATCTCCAGTGCCATTCCCACCTTGCAGGAACAAATGCCTTGCAGGAGGAATAGGCATTCTCGAAGAAGGGTGGATGTTCTTTCCTTGATGCTGATGGTGATGGTGATACATTTTCTGTCTCCAAAAGGAACTCAAATGTAAGTTTAGCTTGTGTTGAAGCACTTACAACTAAATTATCATGCCCGGTATCAACTTTCTTTTTACCTGATGCGCTTGTTCTTTCCTCTATTTGATCTCTATCTGCTAACCCCTTACTTCTGGAGCTTCAGTATCCTATGTTCTTTGATAAAATTTCACCCGCTGCTCTTACTTATCACCTCTCTCCTATGGCCAGTTCCCACAAGCCAAAGGTGACCCCAAGTAAGGCTTTATAAAGCAGTATAGAGGGGGCTGATGGGTAGAGTTTTGTGAAGCATAGAATCTGGGACAGAAGCTGATGGAACACCTGATCCAATCCAATATTCACAGTGACTGAAAAAGAGATATTGTCCCTCCTACTTTGTTAACTGTGGGCCATATACCCTTGAATTCTGCTTTCCATTCTAAGACAGTGCAAGCCATTTGAATTAGCACACAAAACAACTTTCTGAAACACCTCAGGACATGCATTAGGTACTGGAATTGATCCTCCCCAAATTTTTTTTTGTATGCATTTCTGTTCGTCCCTACTGGCAAAAAGCAAGAATCTTATTCCCCGGATTTTAAAGGGGAAGGAATTTTCTGACTTGGATTAGAGGAATCCACTATCTATGTTGTCTTGAGACATTCAAAAGCTCACCCTCCATGCTCTCAACTTCATGGAAGATTCTTAGAACTCTTTTACTTTTGTTCTTCCCCTTAGAGTCGATTTTTGGTTGTCAATGTACACAGTTTAACTAATGAGAATATAAATAAGGTTTACTTCAATGTTATCTACATTAAAGGGAGTAGATGGAGACTCAAAAGAAAGTTTTAACTGGTTATATTTGGAGAATGCAGAAGAAGATTCTTCTTTTGACTGGAGCCACCTTGAAACTTTGGAATTAAATACATACAAGAACAAGATAATGAAATGGGAGAGGAAAGATGCTCTTCCTTGGAGATTCTTGGGAGGCGAGGAATGGAATAAGGAATACATTCCATTTTGTCTCCTTCAGTAAGTTTGGTACTTATTCAGCCTTTACAGTATAATTTATAAGGAAAATGAGGACCCAAATCTTTTGCATTCTTCAATTAGTATAAGACAGCTGGCCCCTTGACGGCGAATCCTGAGCACCTTGGGACCCGGTGAAAAGAAGAGAAGAAGGATTGTACTTGTTTCCATACTTGCATTTGTTGAAATACATGATAATCGCTGGCCCTGGAGACGACAACTTGCCCTTGACCTAGTGCTTTGGTGTGCTTTCCTGATTCTCTTGTATGAATCTATAGGCTCTTCTTTCTCTATTTGATCACTTTCTTTGTCTTAATTAAGCTATTAGAAGAGGTTTCTTAAACATCCCTCTACGTATATATACAGAAATGTCAGATGAATGAATGTACAAATCCATGAACTCATGCAACTTATTCCTTTTTCTCGTTCCTGGGTGAACTGGCACGTAGAAAACATGGAATTATGCATTAGGCAATCTGAAATACTTTAAAATCAGATATATTTTGTCTGTTATCCTCTCTGTAATCTGCATAAACAAAAGCTGAAATATACATGGCTTGGCCTCTGGGACAAGTTCTATCCATGCTACCTACATACTAGTCAACCATCAACATGAACTGATACAAGAAAAAGAGAACTTTGTTTTGTCTATCTTGAATTTCAATTGGCGGGCTATGCAATGTGCCAACTGCAAGTTCATTATGCTTATGCTATAGCTAGAATTGCAGTGAGGGATCCAGTTTTTGGCGATAACAGGGAATTATACTATACCTATTTAAAATAAAAAGAATAATATCTGCATGATCAACGGCTAATGCAGAATAAATTCGTATATTAAGTTATGAAGTCCAAATATGCCATATCATATAAACCAACAAAATAGAGAAATAAAACTTGTTGGAGAATGTGGATATGTCTGATATGCAGATACCCCCATTAAATGAGTGCTTGAGAAATTTCTAAGAGCAAACAAACATTAGCAATCTATGCAGAGATTATAGTAGTTCATTTCAAAGCAATTATAAGCAAAATTCCAATTCCTTGTATAATGTCTTCACATTAGTTTCAACTGGCCTTTTCGGAAAATCAATTGATTCTGATATGTAAGGATAGTTTATGCAGTTTGGGAGAATCTATCAATACCTTTAGACAAAGAATTAAAGCAGAATCCCAAAACAGTTTGCTGGCATGTGGATAGGAATATAATTGCAGAAGAGGCATTATCTGGTGCCCCTGCAAGTTACAATATTAGATTGCTTCAATTTCTGATGGACATTGATCAAACAGAAGGGAAAAAATCACAGCAGCAAGGGTAGGATAAATTTGGTGAGTGCATTTTCATGTAATCATCTCCCTTTTTTTCCATTCCATGACTAATTGACTATGAAGAATGACAACTAATCCACCATGAATAAAACATGTGAGAGCATCGAAAACAGGATGATTAAAATCTGATAATTCTTTCTAGTTTTGAGACTAATCAAAGATGTGACTTTACCAATCTCAACCATGTTTTTAGGCTGCACCAAAATTGAAATGAGAATTCCAGCAGTCTTGTTTAAGTTTTGTATTTTCCCACTTACAGTTGGTATTATGTTGACAGACAAAATTATTTATGTTTAGACAAGCAAGTACTTAATTTGATGTCCAAAAAATGCATGTACCAAAACCATTTGTAGGATAACAAACAAGGTCACACGGTTTTGTCCTACAAAAGGCGCCTCCCAAGGCGGAGATGGTGTGAACCCTTTTATACCCCAGGGACCTTCCTATTATGTTCGATGTGGGATTCAGGACTCCCCCTTAGGTCCGTGACATTCTCCCGCACCCAACCTCGTGACGCCCTCGTCACGGAGGCCGGCCACCCTGCCTACCTCCCTCGAGGCGCTCGGCGTGGATCGAACGGTTTAGGGCTGGCTCTGATACCACTTGTCACGGGTCGAGACTCAAGCTCCGAACCCGCGCGGCTCCGGGACCCGGGCATTCACCCTTCCGACGTCCCGGATCAGCCTTCTGCCACGGTTCACACCCTTGTGAGGTATTGTCCGCTCTGGCCCCTTGGCCTCACGGTTTTGTCCTACAAAAGGCGCCTCCCAAGGCGGAGATGGTGTGAACCCTTTTATACCCCAGGGACCTTCCTATTATGTTCGATGTGGGATTCAGGACTCCCCCTTGGGTCCGTGACACTAGTACTTCATTTCATGTCTGTTAAGGACACAATGATCATCATTCCAACATTAGTACATAAAAAGTACTTAACTTTCACTGATGTTGTCAAAATGAAATTCAGTGGTGCAAGTCCTTTTGTCCATATATCTCTAAACCAGCTGTTTTTGTAATGTTACCTTCACTGTTGCTACCTTCTGATCTCTCCAAGGATGTTATTCCTCACTGTAAGCAGAGGGGAACATTGATATTTGTTCTTCCTTGTACTTACATTTCCTTTTGATGGATTCTGTGTTAATATAATTTTACTTTTTCAAAGACTAGAGAAGAAGCTCTGAAAAGAGCAAACACACCACCAAAGCTGAGAATATCAGATTAAGGACTAGTTCAATCATAAGCAAGACAAGTGTAAGATTCTTACTGGTCACCACTTGTTGACCACACATGATAGCATTGGCTGAAATAGAAAGTGAGAAATGACCACGGAATACTATTCCCTCGTAGAAAAAAGTTATTAAAGATTCCCAAGGAATAGGAATGTAAGAATCTTAACTCAAACTAAAGCCAATGAGTCATATTCTCAAGTCAATAATTTTTTTTGGTTATTCCTCTCTACCCAAAGCCACAAAAAATGGGTTCCCTCCCCCCATCTTTTTTTCCCTTTTGATCTAATTTAGTTGGATGCTTTTCAGCATTCATGATTAGTGTTTAAATGTTCTCATAAGTTGAGCCACTTGACAAGAATATTGCCTGGTTTAGAGATTGCTTATGTTTTTATCAGATATATATAACTAGCTTGAGTCTTTAAGCTTCGATTGGCTGACAGGAACAAACTGATCTCCTTGGCTCAATCATGATCTAGCCATCATTCTATACAACAGTTGAAGTGTTCAAAGTTTTTGCAATTTGTTCTGTTGCTTTGAAATATATGCTTCCCTGTTGGAGTGTAGGTTGTGATAAGACCATCCCATTTCACTTGACAGCACCACCATTTATATATCTCCAACTATATACAATTTTCATTAGAAAGCATTGATATTGATTTCATCACCAAAGAATATGATTCCAACTCCGAAGGGTGAACATAAAACTTTGAGGTAGGCATGAGATTGAGATTATACCGCGCCGCCATCCCCATATATCTTCAAATTTAACCTCTATATTCTCTTATAAAGAGTTCCAGCATCAAGGAAAAAGAAGGGAGGGGAAGAAGAAAAAAAAAAAAGAAAGCTGAAGGAATTATGATATATGTCATAGTAAAGCTCAGTGAAGCTGAAGCTTAATTGTTCTTTTATGTATATGAATTAGAAGATAGCTGAAATAGTGGCATGAAAGATCTATCAACACATGGAGAACGTGACTGTGTTTTTAGAATTTCTTTGCTTGATCTCTCTGTTTCTCTAATATTAATCATACAATTGAAGAACTAAATCATCAAAAGGGAGATATCCATTAACATTTATCAGTCGTCATGGTTGCAGAAAGAACAATGGAGTGACCTTTATTAACCGAATATTAGATGAAAGACGGCTAAAATTTGAGCGTGTTTCAAATAATGGCCAAAGGGAGTTTAATTATAAGATGCAAATGAGCAAAGGGTGTTCCAAAAGTCACCAAGTTCACAACATCACATGTAACTGTGTCTCACACAAGGTTAGCAAGTTCAATAGGCCGATTCTTCTCACGGCGTTACTTATTTATGTTTTCATATTAAATACGTGTAAAATATGAAAATTATCTTATCAAATTTATGTCAACAGATCAAACATAAAATAATTTTTTTGGTTTTTATCAAATTCATTATCATATCAAACTCATATACGTAAATTTATTAATTTTTTTCATATTATTTTTATATCGTACGATACAATGTTTAAAATTATCAGATAAGGGCCATTCAAGGATCCAAAATTTATCTGCATAAATGACATAAATTCGAAGATCCCATGTTAGTCAGTCCACGAATTGTTCACTTGTGTAATTTGCAGACATAGGAGAAAGAGGTCTTCTGTTCTATGAAG